CATCTACTCGTTGTGCTGGGATCACAGGCAGCCTGACACCATGCTGGGGCTTTATGAGCTGCTTGCTAGAGACTGAAGCCTGGGCCTGTGGCATGCGAGACCAGCACTGAGCAACACACCCAGCCCTGTTGTTTTGTTCGTTTTCACTATTCCTTAACACGTTGGTCCCAGGTTACACCCTCAGCAAACAAACACAAAACACTGACAAGCAGGGATCAGAAGTTTCTGCACCTACAGAGTGCACAGGAGTCGCCCGAGGCTGCCTTGAAGGACCAGCTCCTTGTCTTGCTCTACTCCGCCCTGCCCAGGTGCATCCAACCATTAAACCCACACCACAGCTGCTGCTCACAAACAGGGTCAGAAACCAGAACCTTCTGAGAGGCATCACCTTCTCCTTCAAGAAAGAAACCCTCAGAAAGTGCAGCCTGCATCTCCATGGCCAGATCTGCATGGCTGGCCAGCCCGGGCAACAAAGGAGGCTAGGAATTCGATAGCTTTGTTTTGTAGCCTTCACGGTGCAAGAGGCCATGGCAAAGTGTGCCACACATGTATTGAGTTCCCCGATTCATGGAGGGCATTCACACACCACCCACATCATCACTCTGCCCAATCACGCCAACCAGATTAACCCATAAGTCTCTGGTTACCAAGAGAGTTCGCCAGATCTACCCCTTCCCTTTTGGCTTCATAGCTGTTTTCTTCAGCCAACTTGATTTCCTGTTGTTCCACTCTGTTCCTTTCAAGACTCCGTTCAAGCTGGGTGTGCTCCTCCATACCCTGACTCGGCGTAGCCAGGATGCCAGTGTTCCGCAGCTGAAGATGTGTTTGTGTTAGACTTGACTACACACAACAGGGTAATGCCAGAACTAGACCTTAGCCACAGGGAAGTTTCCTTTTCCTCCCCCCAAACAGTCTGGCTTAAAGAATAGGATGACTAGAATGTTCAGTGCCTTGGGTTCCTTACATGCTGTGCTGCGGTCTTCCACCTGCAGTTTCCTGGTCATTCAACCTCACTGGCTAAGTAACACGTCCCACAGAAGACTGGACTTCCTGCTTGGCATTAACTGTTTGGTATTCTGTCCACCAGATGGCGACATGGACACGTTAAAGTGTATGACTGGGGCAATGCCTCTTCTCAAAGCTCACAAAACCAGAATAAGCAAAGGTCTCTGAAGGAACCTAAACTCCACCTCCCAGGATGTATTTAGTCAGCATGTGACTTCTGCACTAAGATCTGAAGTCTGTCTTCTGAAGGGATCCGGAGGACTGTGTGGACCCACCGCTCTGAAGTAAGATTTTCTAATAGCTTTTAGAAAAACTGTGGGGAATGAGAGGTATAATGTTTGTTGCCTTTTAGAATGGGATAACTCCTTAAGGGGGGTCAGAAATTCTCCTATATTTGAAAATAGCCAAAAGAAGAGATCTTCTCCAGTGTCTGTCCTAAGTAAGCCTTTGGCTTGTGAAAATATTTGGAATTCCTGAAAGTGCTTGAGCCTCTCCTAATAAAAATAAATCCAGAGTTTTACTATGGTCTTTAGAGTAGGAAAGCCACCGTAGTCTGGAGTTACTTTACAGTTTCTGCATGGGTTCCCACTCATTGTTCCCCCGCCCCAAATCCATGTTGCTTTGAGAATTGTGCGCACCTTACTTTGGGGCTTTGACTGCTAAATCTCAAGTTCCAGAACAGTCAGAAGGCCAGCTGGAGGGAGCTTTGGAAGTAAACAGAAAGGAAGCTTTGTACCCTGGTCACCCTAGGGGCATGGAGATGCTTAAGCCTTAGCAGGTGCCTTTGCTGGTTCTCAACCTGTGGGCCACAACCCCTATGGACAGGGGTCACAGATCATATATTTACATTATATATAGTATATAACAGTAGCAAGATTACAGTCATGAAGTAGCAAGGAGATGATTTCATGGTTGGGGGTCACCACAACATGAGGAACTGTACTAAAGGGTGACAGCATGGGGACGGGCGAGGACCACTGCTTCAGAGGGTGGTGCCAGCATCGCTGTGAAGGCACAGCATAGTAAGTTCTTATCCCGTGGCCAGAGTCAGAGGAAGAGCCCTTTCTAAAGGCACAAGTTGACTTTCCCTCAACTCCTACCGCACTTAAAGTGAACTTTATTCTTTGAATGTCAGTTAAAGCATACCGTACTGCATCAGAAGAGGGAGGCCCAGGCAAAACTGCTTTTCTGTTGCCCTACATGTGAACGGGTTTGGAGCACAGCCTGGTGGGTCGCTGGTCACCTCTTATAAAGTGGCGGTGACTATGTCAGGCTGGATCTCAAGAGCAAGGTTCTAATAGGAACCCAAGAACCATGGCTTTTATTAGGGGAGACACTGTTGTGAGAGAAAATGAAAGGGAACCGGGTGAGGATAGGGAGGGTTCTGAGCCTGGAGGGCGGGAGGAAAAAGGTGAGGGAGAGCTGGGTGACACACCCTGAGTGCTGGCTGCACCGTGGGGGTGACCTTCCATGAGGTGAGCGGGGTGCCATCCATCGTGGTCTGCCCCTGTGTGGGAATGGAGAACAAAGGTGTCCCCAGGGTCAATTACTGGAGGATGAAAGGTACACAGTAAGGGGCACCTAAATCCTGCTGGGGGCGGGAGACAATGCAGCGTTCTCTTGAACCTGCATTTGGAAGGCATTGGAACCATGGCTCTGAAACCCTGGTGAAAGTGCAGACTCTGATCAGCCCCATGGGTGACCAGGCCCTGTCTGCCATCCGGAAGCACTCCCCACCCACCCTGTCCCCATCCCTACTACTTGGCCAGCCGCTTTTAGACAACTGCAGCCATTTCCCTGCTCCTGCTGCTTCACGGCAGGGATGGACCCTAAAATATAAATCTGAAAATCCCTGTTGTTTCCCCTCGTTGCCTCCGTGCCAGTTGTGGAGCAGACGTGAAGGCCTGGGAAGAAGCAAGGGCACATGGGATATGTGGGGGAGGGGGAGGGGGCAGGGGACATCACTACAGGAGGGGCAAAAGCAGAAACAAAAACTCCTAAGGATGTTACTTAGCCAAAGAGGACAGGTAAGGTCAAAAGAAAGGACGGGTTGGGAGGGGGACGGGCGCGGGGCTGGAGAGATGGCTCAGCAGTTAGGAGCATCGGCTGCCCTTTCAAAGGACCTGGGTCCGATTCCCAGCACCCACATGGCAGCTCACAGCTGTCTGTAACCCCAGTTCCTGGGGATCTGACACCCTCACACAGACTTACAGGCAGACAGAACACAAACGCAAATAAAATAAAAATAAGTAAAACATTTTCAGACATTAAAAAAAGAGGGGACAAAGTACAAGCCCTCAAGCCAAGGTTGGCCCCCAGGCACTCTTTTGGAGGATGTTTGAGCAGAGGGAATGTGACGACTTCACACTCATGCAACACATGCTTTTTCCCTGTTTGGTGGCCGCAGCAAACGAACTCTTCAAATCACTCTTCCCTTCTCTGTGGCCTGGACACCCTTCTCTGTGGCCTGGACACCCTTCTCTGTGACCTGGACACCCTTCTCTGTGGCCTGGACACCCTTCTCTGTGACCTGGACACCCTTCTCTGTGGCCTGGCCACTGGGTGCTGTCTCAATGTAAAGGAAGCGGGCATTGCTGGCTTCCTGCCTGCACAGGAAAGCGAGGCCGCTGACAGCCTTTGCCAGTTCTTGTGCTCGTTTTCTCTTTCTTTACTGCAAACATCTCCCTGTCTTGAGCCACTGCAACATATGAGTTGTCCTGAGGCCAGAGGTTCACAAGGGCAGCCCAGCGGTCATTTGACTACCCTTAGTCATACCCTGTTCACTGGTACCCACTCCTCCCTCCCTGAGATGAGCATCCAAGTCTTGGCAGAGTGCAGAATTTCCACAGTGTCAGGGGTTCTTAACCCTCTTGTTTGGAAAACATTGGTTGCATGCTGTTCGGGCTAGTTTTATGTTAACTTGACACAAGTTACTTGTCTGAAAGGAGGGAACCTCAATAAGACTCAGCTGTAAGGCATTTTCTTAATTAGTGATCAATGCGGAAGGGCCAAGTCCTGGGCTAGTGGTCCTGGGTTCTATTAAAAAAAAAAAAAAACAAGCTCAGCAAGCCGTGGGGAACAAGTCAATAAGCGGCAGCCTCCATGGCCCCTGCAGCAGCCCCTGCCTCCAGGTTCCTGCCCTGCTTGGGTTCCTGTCCTGTCTTCCTTCAGTGATGAACAGCGATGTGGAAGCCTAAGCCTAATTAACGCTTTCCTTCCCAACTTGTTTTTGGTCATGGCATCTCACTCATCACAGCAACGGAAACCCTGACTCAGACACGTGTTCAAGTGTCTCTAAGGCATGCTGAAATTTTAAAACAACAGTCAGCACTGCAGTGGGTGGGCTGTCCTCAGAGTACCCGTCAGGAAGCCTGACTTAGTGCCTCTGCCACCTCGGGCAGGTCCAGTGTGCCTGCTAATCCCACCAGGCAAGAATAAGGCCACTACCATAATTCTGAGCCAAATTTGAAGCAAGCTTGCACGCACTCGAGTGTGTGTGTGTGTTTCGAGACAGGGTTTCTCTTGTAGCTTTGGAGTCTGTCCTGGAACTCAATTTGTAGAACAGGCCAGCCACAGACTCACAGAGATCCACCTGACTCTGCTTCCCAAGTGCTGGGGTTAAAGGCGTGTACCACCAACACCTGGTGCCGTCTTGATTTTTATTGGAGTGCACTGAGAGTTGGCCAGTGGCTGCCTCCTAAATCAGGTCAGACACAGCAGCCAATGTGCCAGCTTTATTGACTCCCCATAGGAGGCCTTAGATTGGGGGTGGGGGTGGGGGTGGGAGAGGTAGGAGGGGGAACTAAAATAAAATTTAGAAAGGAAGAGAGAGAGAGAGAGAGAGAGAGAGAGAGAGAGAGAGAGAGAGAGAGAGAGAGAGAGAGAGAGAGAGAGAGAGAGAGAGCCCTGAGTCTCAGGGTTCTTTTAAGGAGTAAAATAATCACGGGCAGTTGCAAAGCAGGTTTAGAGAACACAATGGAGCGTTAAGTACAGAATTATGTGAAAAACCCAGCAGCCATCATCATGTGGTCCCCTGTGAATTGGGAGGGTTTGTGTGTTCCCAAAAAACAAGTCAAGGTCATGGGTTGGGGCAGGTCAGGTTCCAGACAGAAACCTACCTATTTTCAGCAACGCAGCAGAACGGCTCCTGCCTTCAAAACGGAGTCAGACATGTTCCTCACGCTCTTCCACAAAGGAAAGGGATGGGCTATGGTTTGACTTTCCAGCCCTTCTAGCCGGCGAATCTTAAGGCCCACTGTGACACCTTTTCAAGGGACAAGGAAAAACCACAAGGGTCTGCCTCTGTGACTCAGCAGAAGTTTACAGACAAGGGAACAGGTGACTTAGGACAGTAAGGCTTTCATTTTCAGAGTCCATCCTCTGTGAGGTAGTTACAGGGCGTAAAAGGAGAGCAGAAAGGAGGTTGAAGTGTGTTCGTTGCCTTTGCTAGCAGTGACCAAATAATAGTGACAAGTGAAATAATGTCAGGTGATGGATGGGTAAGTGTTTCCTGTGGCCCGAGGTTATCAGAGGGTTTGTGGGGGGATGGGAGGGTAGGCAGGGAGAGGGATCTAGGAATCCTGTAATGCTGACTACTGAGGCTTTGGGAAACTGCTGGAACTTTTCAAAATGGTGTGGCTGTGGTTAATGGTTTTCAGTAGAGAAACTGAAAAACAGCCCCACATAGCAAGGACAGACAGGCAGTGGGGCAGTGAGGGAGGGAACTCTCCTCTCTGGTCCCAGCTTCAGAGGAAGGAAGCAAAGGCTAGACTCCAGTGTGCTGTGCACTTTGGTGTACGGACAACCTCCAAAGCAATACAGAGAAACCCTGTCTCAAAAACAAAACAAAACAAAAAAAAGGAGCAAGCTAATGTGTTCGTTCCAGATGTTGCCTGCACAATTGATTTGCTGCTACTTGGGCCACTAAAGGCATGTGTCTTTGGATTGGGCTGCAGGTTCCACCATGGGCCGACTGGAAGGGAAAGTTATCGTCCTGACAGCTGCTGCCCAAGGGATCGGCCGGGCCTCTGCGTTAGTAAGTTCACACCTGCTGGGGTTTACTTTCGGTCTGCAGATGTGCAGACCGGCACCAGGGGTATCTCGTTCTCATTCACTGTTTTCTGTTCCTCTTCCCCTTTCTCTCTTCTTCCCTTGCTTTGGTTTTCCTCTTAGTTTTCTTCCTTTTTGCAGCTTGGAATTGAACCCAGGACCTCAAGCATGCTAAGCACACAGTCCTGCCACTGAGCTGTGTTTGCAGCCTTTCAATTCTGTTTTTACCTTTAATATATCTTTTCCCATTTATTAGTGTGTGTGTGTGTGTGTTAGTGTGTGAGTGTGTATGTGAGTATGTGAGTGTGTGTTAATGCATGTGAGTGTGTGGGTGGGTATGTGAGTATGTTTTAGTGTGTGTGTGTTACTGTGTGTGTTAGTGTGTGTGTGTTAGTGTATGTGTGTTAGTGTGTGAGTGTGTGTTAGTGTGTGAGTGTGTGTTACTGTGTGTGTGTGTGTGTTACTGTGTGTGTGTGTGTGTGTGTGTGTGTAGCAGTGGTGGCACATGCGCCACATTGCAAATGTCAGAAGGCCACCCTGTGGAACTGGTTCTCTCCCTCCACTTTGACGTGGCTTGCAGGGATTGAGCTCAGGTCTCTAGGCTTGTATGGTTTGTGCTGAAGGGCTCTAGCAGGCCTGGGCTTGGCAAACAGGCACTGGCAGGCTTTGCCCTGCCCCCTTCCTTCCCCCTTGTAAACATAGATTGAATGCCTAAAGCTAGCCATCAAGGTCTCTTCCCTTATTTGGACACTTTCCTATGCCAGACTCATTCCTGAGGGTAACCACCGAAGTCCATCAATCAAAAGCCCCCTTTGGTTCACCTAATTAACATGCCCAATCAAAATAAACCGTCTCATCCTAGCCCACTCTAACACAGACCTCCCCTTTTTTCTCGTCTTTAAAAAATCACGCCTGCGAGGGCATTTGATGCTGATATTCTGCCTGAGCCAGAAAGCAGCCTGTAACTTTTCTTCCCTGCTTAACAAGGATCTCTCTCTGCAACAGTAGGTGTTTGGGTGTGGTTTTTGCCTAATCCAGGTGGGGTGGGAGCTGCTTCTGTGTGGGAGTTTCTTCACAAGCCTTATCTGCTGAGCCATCTTGCCAGCCCATGCATCTTAAGTTCAAGAGAAAAGTTCCCCACAGACGAGAAGAAAGGAATTCCTTGTGCTTCTGTGGCATCAATAACTTCCAACCCTGAGAATCATATTTCTCTGCCCCAGCTTATCTGCGCCAGAATGAACTGACTCATAATGACCACAGGGCTCTAGAGGACACACAGCTCTCTGCAACTGTGTCAGCTCGATTAAGACCCCCAGAGTTATCAAACTCTCTAGTCATTCTGTGCCGCTGTGCCTCAGTTTCTCCCTCGTTACACCCCTAGCTGACGGGGAATGCACTAAGAACCCATGCTGAGTGTAATCTGGCGTTTAGGAAGCTGCCGAGGTGACTGCAGTCTTTGGAGGGGATCTTCCGTTTTTTCTCTTCGTGCGTTTTTACTCATTGCTCACAAATGGCACATGGAGGCCATAGAGCTGGCCCAGTCAAGACACTGTCATCCAAGCCCTGAGACCCAAGTTTGACCCCTGGAAAGAGGAAAGAGTGAGTGACTCCACAAAGCTGTTCCCTCCCCTTCACGTGCAAACCAGGTCACGTGCCTGCACACACACAGACGCACAGGCGATAAATAAATACATGTAAAAACAGAAAAAGAAAAGAAACAAAACACAGAATAGCAACATTATTTCAGACAGGTGTTAGTGGGGTTGTTTGTTTTATCGAAATGGGGTCTCTATGTAGCCCTGGCTGGCTTAGAACTCTGTATAGACCAGGTTAGTCTCAAACTCACAGAGATCCATGTGCCTCTGCTTCTCAAGTGCTGAGATTGAAGAAATGTGCTAATACCCAGCTCTGGGTTAGAGTTTTGAGTTTTTTTTAAAAAATATTTATTTCTTTATATCTATTTTATGTATCTGAGTGCTTTGCCTACATGTATATATGTATGCCAAGTGCATACCTGGTATCTGCAGAGGTCAGGAAAGGGTAGCAGATCTACCAGAGCTGGAGATACAGACAATTGTGAGCTGTCGTGTGGGTGCTGGGAACTGAACCCAGGTCCTCTAGAAGAACAGCCAGCTTTTAATAGCTGAACCATCTCTCCAGCCTCTAGTTAGAGTCTTTAAAAAATGCTATGTTATTTGATTAAAAAAAGACAAAGTCAGCCAGGCGCTGGTGGCACACGCCTTTAATCCCAGCACTCGGGAGGCAGAGGCAGGCAGATCTCTGTGAGTTTGAAACCAGCCTGGTCTACAGAGAGAGTTCCAGTATGGCCTCCAAAACAATACAGAGAAACCCTGTCTCAAAAACAAAACAAACAAAAAAGACAAAGTCTAATGGAAAATACAATATATACCCTGCTGCTATAATGATTGACAAAAATAATTATGGTGGTGTAAGGGAAAATAAGACTAGATAGATGGAAATTCTACATATTTATAGAAAAAACAATAAAAATACTATAAAAGGAAGAAAACAGTTTCCATTTTTGAGAGCAGTTTATTCAAGCAAGCAGAGGACTGATTTGTATTTCCCTCTGGCAGGCTTTTGCAAAAGAAGGAGCCAAAGTCATAGCCGCAGACATCAACGAGGCCAAACTCCAGGAGCTGGAAAATTACCCAGGTGAGCAACTGGCTGCAGGTTCAGGACTGGCCCGATATTAGACAGCAGAGACACTGATCATGCAAAGCCAGCTCTAGCTGCTCCAGGCATCTGTCTCTTAGAGTCCAGCCCCTCCGTAAAAAGTCTGTGTTCTGTGACCTACAGAAAAGCGTCCATACAGCAGAGGCTTGCGGGGGAAATCTGAAGGGACATACTTAAGGTTTTCTATTGCACAACATGTTGAGGGATTTTGCTCCCAATTACAAAGTTCTGTGAGAATTAACAGCTGTCAGGTTAACTATTAATGACAGCATCACTATTGCTCATGACTGCCCCGAGCAGCCTTGTCCTGAGGAATGTGATACGATCCTCTTGTGTTCTTGAAAAACTGTTTGTAGCCCCCATGAAAAGCTAAACGGTGCATGGGGAAATGTGTTCACCTCTCGTTTGTTTGTCTGTGACATTTTATCATTACTTTTATCTTACTGGAAGGAAAATGGAGACATTTCATGAAAAAGTGGAACCCACTGTATAACACAGCAATTTTCATCTTACAATTTTTTTTTTGTCTTAAGTGTGTGGTTGTTTTACCGGCACCAAGTGGGTGCAATACCCATAGAGGCCAGAAGAGGGTGATGGAGCCTCTGGAACTGGAGTTGCAAGCGGTTGTTAATCACAAGGTGCCAAGAATCAGATACAGATGGTCCAGGAAAAGCGAACAGCACTTAACTGCTGAGCTATCTGTGTAGACCCTAGCCGAGATCTTATTGAAGGGTGAAGATGACACTTTAAGATCTGTACATCTTTGGAAGTTTTTTTTAAAGATGTATTTTATTGTTTGTATGTGTGTGAGTGTGTGTGTGTGTGTGTGTGTGTGTGTGTGTACAGAGGCCGGGAGGAGGTATAAGATCCCCCAGGGCTGAAGTTACAGGCATCTGTGAGTCACCTAATATGACAGCTGGGATGTGAGCTCCACTCCTCTGGTAGAGCAGTAAGAGCTTCAGCCACTGAGCCATGTCTCCAGCCTAAGATTTGTGCATGTTAGTGACACTCTTGAAATGGCCACAAGTCCTATGCAACCCACATGGAAACGCTACATTCTTCACACCACAAAACAGCCAAATCTTCACGGTTACTTACTTTATGAGTTCTACGTAAAAATTGCCTTTTATTTCATTCTTCAGGTATCCAGACTCGTGTCCTTGATGTCACAAAGAAAAAGCAAATTGACCAGTTTGCCTCAGAAGTTGAAAGAATTGATGTTCTCTTTAATGTTGCTGGGTAATTTTACATTTTTTATTTCACTCTGAGAAAGTTTTCTGATTTTATTAAATGGTATTGATAGGATAAAAGAGTGACTACTTGACAAAACATGGCATATTTCTTGGGAAGTCAGGCTAGATGTCACACATCACTCAGCAAGTGAGACAGCTACGTCATTGACGTGAACTTGGGGCCTACGGGCAATTAAAGCCAAGGAAGGGAGTGGGTACTGATGCAAAATGCGGAGAGTAAGCAAAGCAGTGTTGCCTGACGCCTCCTTTCATGAAGGAGCTGCTTGTCCTTCTACGAGGCTGTATCTGGAGACGTGGCTATTGGTTTTTTTGTTTTTTGTTTTTTGTTTTTTTGGTTTTTTTTGAGACAGGGTTTCTCTGTGGCTTTGGAGGCTGTCCTGGAACTCGCTTGGTAGTCCAGGTTAGTCTCGAACTCACAGAGATCCACCTGCCTCTGCCTCCGGAGTGCTGGGATTAAAGGCGTGCACCACCAACGCCCGGCTGGCTATTGGTTTTTGAGCATCCGTTCAGTCTTTAGCGTTGCGGAAGATGCAGGAGACAGTGTGTGGTTCCTGGTACAGGAAGCTGACTGAGTGACCTCCAGAAGTCCTGCAGTACAACCGTTCCCGACTACATCTTGTATTTGACCATGCAGTCTCAGTCCAGAGGACGGAGTCTGCAAGGATGCCGTGTTCAGGGAGTGTCCCTGAGGAAGAGTGGCTGCAAGGGGGCGAGGCTGACTGTGGGGTTTTGTCTGTTCTTCCTCCTTTGTGCACTGTGCTAGAAGCAAACAGCCACAACGTTCCTTTGCTGCAGTGACATGTGAGGCTTTGCGCACTGTGTTAGAAACACACAGCCACAGCCTTACTTCTCTACACGATATTTGGAGACACTGTTTTCCTTCCAGTTTTGACTTCCCTGTAGAACTTTAGCCTGTGCCACTGGAGGGCACTGTCGCCCTGGGAACAGGAATGAAATGGAACAGCTGTCCTCATTCACTCTCTGTTCTTAAAGCACTAGAGTTCCCAAAGCCCTTGGTATTGGGATCCTTGTGTTTGGCAGCCCCTGCTTTGTTCTGTCTAAATGATGATTGGGTTTTTCTGTTGCTGTTGTTGTTTTGCTTTGCTGCTTTTTCTTTCTTCCTTCTTTGAGTGTGTGTGTGTGTGTGTGTGTGTGTGTGAGAGAGAGAGAGAGAGAGAGAGAGAGAGAGAGAGAGAGAGAGAGAGAGAGAGAGAGAGAGAACTCTATGGCATACATGTGGAGGGCGGAAGACAACTTGCAGGAGTCAGTTATCTTATATCTGGGAATTGAACTCAAGTCTTTAGACTTGGCAGCAGCAAGAGTCATGTCCCCAGCCTATCGTTCTTTTTTGTTTAGACAGAGTCTCACCTTGGGCCTCTGGCAGGCCTGGAACTCCGTCTGTAGACCAGGTTAGCCTCATACTCATAACATCAGCTTGCCTCTGCTCCAGAGTGCTGAGATTAAAAGGTGTGTGCCACCATGCCCAGTTTCAATTCTTTTTTAAAAAATTACATTTATGTATTTTATGACTGTGTCTACACGTGTGAGGTCACACAACCAGCTGGAGCTGGCTCTTTAATTCCATTGTGGGTTCCAGAGATGGAGCTTGGGTCATCCGGTTTGGAGACTGGTATCTTTATCCACTGAACTATCTCACCAGCCATGAAAAAGGATGTTTTCACATAAAAATGTCGGCATGATTACTAACATAATATGTTAAATTATACTATGTTTGAGTTGTATAGAGCCTTAAAAAGGAAAAGGGATAATGGTCTAACTTGTATTTGACAATAAAAGTGATTATTAAATAGATTATAAAAAGTTGATGATTTTGTTGTTATTGTTGTTTGTTTGTTTCAAGACAGGGGTTCTCTGAGTAACAGCCCTGGCTGTCCTAGAACTCTGGAGACCAGGCTGGCCTCAAACTTAGATATCTGCCTGTCTCTGCCTCCCGAGTGCTAGGAAAAAAGACGTGTGCCAACACCACTTGGTTTAGGAAAATGTTGAATTACAGGAGTGTGTGTTGTTTTGTTCTTATAATCCTAGGGGTTCTACACAGGGCATGCTGATGAGTCTTTCCTGGTGAGTCTTTAACATGCTTTTTCCCTGTTTAATCACCCTTTCAGTTTTGTCCACCACGGGACCATCCTGGATTGCGAGGAAAAAGACTGGGACTTCTCAATGAACCTCAACGTCCGCAGCATGTACCTGATGATCAAGGCATTCCTTCCCAAAGTAAGAGCATCAACAGGGTGTCTGCCTTCACACTGGGTACACAGAGGACATGCATGTGTATTCGAGTGTGATCATGGCTAGCACGCTGACTCGTGTGCATGGAGCATCTACAGCAAGGCTGTTTATTGAGATCAATCTGTTCAACCTTCCAGTTCTTACATTCAGGGAATACTGATTAAGCATCTCAGCATGCCAGACTCCATGCTACACCAAGGAGACCCTCCAGTGAACCTAACTGAGTTCTTTCTTGAAGAGAGAAACTCAGTTGATATGTAATATAAATTGGAGCCGTTATGAGCACCACGCAGACAAACAGCCAGGGTAACAGTGAGGCTCTCTTGGACCTCACTGGCAACCTGGGATTCTCAGAGAGAACAAAACGCAAGGAGGCAGTGTCTGGAGAGATCCACTGGCTTCTTGTTGCCGAATGGTCCCATGAGGTGAGTGAGGTTTCATCATATCAGCTGACTACACAGAGGCGACCCTGAGAGGGGAGGAAAGGAGAGGGAGCTCGTGCGATGAGCAAGTTACTAGAGTCAGTTTATGAAGCCCAGCAGCTCACACACCCGTCCAGGTCTGAGCACACGCTGTCAAGGTGCTTACACCCAGGGGGATTTTTTCCACCACAAAGAATTGTGTGTGGGGGTTTGTTTGTTTGTTTGTTTTTTGTTTTTGTTTTTCGAGACAGGGTTTCTCTGTATTGTTTTGGAGCCTGTCCTGGAACTCACTCTGTAGACCAGGCTGGCCTCGAACTCACAGAGATCCGCCTGCCTCTGCCTCCCAAGTGCTGGGATTAAAGGCGTGCGCCACCAACGTCTGACATGAACTGTGGGTTTTTAAGAATTATTTTATTTTAATATTTCATGTGTGCGTGTGTTTTACCTGCATGTTTATCTATATACTCCCAGAGGCCAGAAGAAGGCACCAGATCCCCTGGGACTGGAACTACAGGCAGCAGGAGCAGCCAGGGCTCTTAATCACTGAGCCACCTCTCAAGCCTCTTTCTTTTATTTGAGACACAGTCTCACTATGTAGCCCTGGCTGGTGGATATAGACCGGGCTGGCCTCAAACTCACAGATATCTGCTTGTCTCTGTCTCCCCAGTGCTGGGGTTAAAAGTGCACCCCGCCATGCCCAACCTCCGTTTTACTTTTCAGACAAATCGTCACTTGCCTTTTAGAGTGCGGAACTCTTCCGGGTGCTCTGGAAGGGTGTAAATGTAGGAGGTATGTAACCCTGATCTAGCATGTAGCAAACCAGTAGTAGCAAACAGTGTCTGACGGAAGACAGAACCAGTTCATCTGCAATGAAGATACGCTTTTCCGGTCTCACTGTGTTGCTCTGACTGTCCTGGAACTCACTCTGTAGACCACATTGGCCCTGAACTCAGAGATCTGCCTGCCTCTGCCTCCCAAGCTCTGGGATTTAATGGCATTTGCCACTGCGCCCAGCCTGAAGGTATGCCTTTGAGTACTTGATCAGTGCTTTAAAAAGATCTTTGGTCAGCCCACATAATTTTGGACTCGCTGTTCCCTCAAAAGTATGTTTCCAGCCAAGAGGCTGGCTTAGAGGTTAAGAACACTTGCTGCTTTTCCAGAGACCCTGTGTTCAGTTCCCCGAACAACTACCCGTAAAAGCTGCAGCCTTCTGAGTGTTAGGACCAAAGGGGGCAGGACAGGAGGCATTGTGTCTGGCTTTATGATCCCCTTTATCATGTACAAAGGCACATTGCAGCCTGGCGTGGTGGCACACAGCTCTAGTCCCAGCACTGAAAGGCAGAGGATCTCTTTGAGTTCAAGACCAACCTAGTCTACAAAGGAAGTTCCAGGGCAGCCAGGGCTATACAGAGAAACCATGTCTCAAAAACAAACAAACAAACAAAAACCCGAAACAAACAAAAGGCGCACGTAGGTAAAATGTTTATTCTCCCCTACTGTGTCTCTTGACATGGTTGGGGACATCAGCCCCCCATGCGCTGTTAGCCCGTGCAGCCCAATGCCTTGCCATTTGTCCTGTACTCTTTGATCTTGTGTAATTAGTCCCAAGTATGGACATGGAAAGTTAGAAAACTTCCACAAGGAAGTGGATCACCGCGGCCACCCAGCTCTAGATCCATCAGTCACAAAGTCTTTTCCTAAAACCTGGTAAAGAAACTCACCCAGCAGTTTTCCCTCTCTCAGTCTTTCACGCTGCCTGTCCAGATCAGTTTCTGGAAAGAGCCATGTTTAATTAATCTTCATTATGTCACAGACATGCCAGACATCCTGTTCTCTGGCTTGTGCTGTGTCCCCAGCAGCTGTCTGGACTCTCTGCCACTGTCCCCATCCCATTGCCTTTGCTCTCTTTTCCATGCCCTCCATGTGACAAGTGATTTCACTCCCAAGCTGGTACCCAACACCGGAAGTTCCCCCAACTCCTTGTTTCTTCTCCAGAAGTATCCATGGGTGCCCATACCTTTGTCTGCTGTCTGGAAACATGTATCTGAGTAGTGGTCAATAACATCCAAATTAAAATTCATAGTAGCATTGTTCATTGTGCGTGACTTCAGATTAGGAACAGGGCCCAGCCATCTGCATTGAAAGCTGTGCCAAGTAAGTCACTGGAGTGTCCTTAAAGACCCTCCTTGTGACGACGCCACACTTTAGTGGGGGGATGGCTGTGACACTCAGGGTGCTGAGCAAGCAAGCACTCTCCACCTGTGTGTCCTGGATCTTTGGGCAGCTCAGCTTTTCCCACGCTCTCCCAAAGGACTGCTTCTGCTTCCTCTGCTCTGTGCCTGGCACCAGAGTAATCTCTGTGATCCCCAAATTGAAGATTCCGCTTCTCTTCTAGCTTACATCCTCCGTCATTGCTGTGGTGATCTCAGGGTCAAACCCAAGTCCTTCACAGCAGCCTGGGTTCCACTCTGCAGCCTTATTGTCCCAGGCCTCCGTTCCAGCCAGACCCACGCCCTGTCTCGGGTCCCTCGCTCGCGGAGACTTTATACTTGTAGTACCTCCTCCTTGAGGCACCTTGGTGTTCCTCTTCTAGTTCCATGATCCACACTGTGGTTTTGGCCCTTTTCCTCCTCCCCCATAGCTCAGAGGGGACCTTCCTGTCTCATCTTCTCCTCAGCTCTCTGCAGGTCTCCACTGATGCTGGCTTCTGGTCATGTCAGCCACTCCAGTCAGACTGGCTGTCTGCTGTAGGCGGGGACTATGTCCTTTACCTTTCAATTTCCTGGGTGTCACACAGTACCTGAGTTTAAAACCTCTTCAATGCACTCATGTTGAATAAAGTATTGTCTGGGCACATCAGGAACATACTGATTTTTTTTCATGTCCTTTTAGCTTAGGGTTCATTCTTGGCCTGCTGATAATGCTGTATCCATAGGAGGTGGTAGCATGCCTTAGAAGTGCCAGTGGGTGTTTAGACATGCCACTAGCTCCCTGCAATGCGTGGGCAAAGACTGTGGGTTCACATTGTGAGACTGTTTCCTACAGCTTGAAGTTAGTAGTTAACAGATAATTGAGTTGAGCCTGGCAGTACACTCTTGTCATCCCTGAATTTGTGAGGTTGGAGGATGAGGATTTGGAATTCAAGGCTAAAGTGTAAGAGACTGTCTCCAAAATTAAGACAAAAAAAAAAGAAAGAAAGAAAGAAAGAAAGAAAGAAAGAAAGAAAGAAGGAAAGAAAGAAAGAAAGAAAAGGGTCTAGTTGGCTAGGAGTCAATGCAAATGTGTCAGTGAGCCAGTGCTTCAAACTGCAGAATAGAGATGTTTTTACTTTGTTTTGGCAGATGCTTGCTCAGAAATCTGGCAACATTATCAACATGTCTTCTGTGGCCTCGAGCATCAAAGGTACTACTGGCTTTCTTGGTGTTGAGTACACACACACATACACACACACACACACACACACACACACACACACACTTTCATTAGCCGTGGATTTTAGAACTAAGCATAGACAGATTCAGAAAACTCATATGGAAATGATCTTAAGTGTCTTATGTCATCAGGCCTGTTGTTACTCATCAAATTAAATTTAAAAAAAATACTGTCTTTGCCTTTCCTTTTATTCTTTCTATATGATAGAAGTGAAAATTGAGTTAGGAGAAAAAAAAGATTTGTTAGTGAAGTGATTCAAAATGATATATTGAGTGCAAGCTGAGCTGAATCCCCCTCCCAAAAGAAAGAAAGAAAGAAAAGAAAAAAGTCACTGTATACAAGGGACAAGCCACATTTTCATGTGCTTCTCATAAATAGCATCTCAGGAAGCCCCTGGCCTTCACTAGGTAACCAAAGCTGGCTTCAACTCCTCCTTATCATCACACCTCCGCCTCTGAAGTGCTAGGCTATACGTGGGCACCACCAGACTCACCTTCGGATTCCATATTCTGCAGTGTAGCAGAGGTTTGCACAAACCCACCATACGTGAGAGATCCCTGTGCTTGTGAGGTTGCAACGCAGACAAGGGATCTGAGCCCTGAAAGGGAGGTCAAGGAAAAGGACTAGGACTAAGTGGAGGGAATGTCACAGCCTGAAATTGATGGATTTGTGAGTTTAAAATGAAGTCACCATGGAGACGGCATTCTTTCTCTTATAAATGTAAGATACGCATGTGAGCGGAGATGGGCTTTTTGTTTCTTCAGGTAGGAAGACCTAGAGAGGGATGAGGGTTTCCTACAGCTGTGCTGACAGTGAACAGCAGGTGACTGCTTCAAACCACGAGCAGCATCTCAACACCAAGTCTAAGTTAGGATCTGCCCATACCGGCAGCATTTTTCTGCATTCAGAAATTGTCTCTATCCGCATTACAGAAGAAGACCCAAGGCCGGTCATTCTTCAAAGGGAAAGCTGACTTGAATTTTTTATTATAAATAAATAATAAAAGGAGAGCTGATGGGAATATGGCGATGGCGAGTGGGGCAAACTCACTGCGTTCCTTTCTAAAGGAAACCGTGTCTCTAATTCCTTCACGCCCAGGAGTGGAAAACAGATGTGTGTACAGTGCAACCAAGGCAGCTGTGATTGGTCTCACCAAGTCCGTGGCTGCAGACTTCATCCAGCAGGGCATCAGATGCAACTGTGTGTGCCCAGGTGAGTCAGGAGGGGAGCGTGTGAAGCTGGCCTCCCTTGTGTTCCATTTGGCACCATAAGCAACATTCCCGCCAGCTTGTTTATTGTGTCATCACTGCGAGACATTTAAACTAAGGGTTTGGCCTAGTTAAGAGAACAGTACAGCTTTGGATGGACAGAGGTTCCAAGTCACTTGGAAGAAGCCTCGAGATGAAGAATTTAAAATCCAGCATGTGTGAGCCAGTTTAGACTCAAATGGCTGAGCCACGAAACTTGCCAGGACCTGTTGTTTTATAAGCAGACCGTGATGACCTTATCAGTGGAGAGTCAAAAGTAGTGTGTACCCATGGGACAGCAGAGGAAAACGTCAGGGAGCCTCGTGGAACACGGGGATCTGCCAAAGTCCCAAACAGCAGAATGGCTCCTAAATCAAAAGGATGCTGTGGCCTGTTTAGTAAGTAAAGCTTACTGGAGACAGTCCCACCCGGATGGTTCATGCAAAGGCAAAGTTGAGAGGTTGCAACAGATCATGTGACTCACAAAGCAAAAATATTTGCTACCATTATGAAAATAGTGTGACCGCCCTCCTATGAAGACTCAAGAAAACTGCTTTGCTTTTTATTGGTTTTGTTTTCTGACTGCCTCAAACTCACTGTGTGAACCAAGCTGGTCGATATCTCACAGGGACTGGCCCAGCTTCCCTGCTGGGTTTGATGGTGTGCATCACTATACCCAGCAAAACCACTTTTCTTAATAACTATGGGTGAGACACAGTTTCCTGGTAACCCAAAATGAATATAGGGTACCTAACAGTGCCAACTGAAACCAAGAAATTTAAGGCCACCATTTATGGGGTGGTTTTATAAAGCTTGAAATAAAACAAATTTTCTAGACTTACTGCTGCTGAGGGCGCAGTTTTGATACACCATACACTGACAAGCACTGGACAGCAGAAGATCTTTCAAAAGAGAAATTGCTGCTTTGTATAAAGGGCAGATTGTTAGGTTTAGTGGCAGGAGTATCTTGGCAGACCAGAGCCAAGGAATGTCAGAGAGATCAGACCATGTGACAAATCTCATGTAAGAGATTTATTGGTGTGGGGACAAGAGAGAGAGAAAGGATGAGGGACAGACTGATGGACGGATGAACAGACGGACGGACGGACGGACGGACGGACAGACAGACAGACAGACAGACAGACAGACAGACAGACAGACAGACAGACAGACAGAGTGGCCCAGGATGATGGGGACGTTTTAAAGAGTGTGAGTTTGAATTTGGTGACTGGTAACGACACGGCTACTGGCGCAGAGTCGCTGATGGCAGGCTGGGAGAACGCCCGATATCTAACACAGTTAAGGAAATGGGCAAGAATGGAGGTTACTAAAAAATGAAATGCAGCGAAGGTCTTTTTGATACAACTGCTCCCTCCCATTACTGCCACAAGAGAAATCTTAAAGTCAAGGAATTTAAACTCTGAAAGGAGGTGTTGTATGGCCAGGACTAGGGTTTTCAACAGTCCACAGCCAGTGTTGCAGCGGTCCACCTATTAGGCATGCCAGAATTGAGGGATGTTTGGTAGTAGATCTGTGTGTCATTTGGGAAGTCCCGGAGGAGATTCTATCTGACTCCCCGGTTAGGAATCACAGGAGTACACAAGAGAAATAATTAAATCCCCTTCATGTCTGAGCTTCAGAGATTGAGATGCCTGTGTCATTTTGTGGGGGTGGAATGAAGCCACAAATAACACAAAAAAAGGACACTCTCATCTTTCACTACACCTGATCTTGGTGGCATTGGCCATCAGAAAGAAAAATGGCAAAAGATCTAAAAAAAAAAAAAAGTGGTTTCTTCCACAGCTAGAATTTTCATGGGACCTGGAAAAATCTGTTATTAAACTCTGGAACAAGGAAGTAGCTGTGATTCACAGAGGCCGTCCCAGAAGCAAAGGAGAAGTGTGTCTGGGTTAGTGCCAACAGTTGTGAGTCCTCCCCATTGGAGCCACATGTGTAGATACGGCCCAGCAGCCACCAGTGAAGTAGGATTAATCTGAGGATGTCGGCTTGCACCAGTTTTCACTTCTTATTTATCAGTGATGGCCACGTGTAAAATATGACACCCACTCGGCATTTACAGCTACAGGGCTTTGAGGACTGCTGTGGACAGCATATGGTGCACACAGGCTGGTAAAAGTCTGCACTTTAAGTAGACTATTCTCAAGAAAATGAGGAAGATTTAGTAAGTTGGCCAAGTGGAATGTCTCTTCTGCAGAAATGTGGAGATTCAAATTGTTGCGGATGGGGTGGGTGGCCCCGCAGAGGGGGGGGTGCTGCCTATGTGCAGTAGGATGTGACTGGGGACCTGGGGACACGGTTCTACCCGGGAATCAGGGGCTGATGTGGGAGGTTCTCCATTTCTCCAGAAAAATGGCAAGTGGCACCAAAATTAAGGAACACTTCCAGAACAGAGTCCAATCTATGTATGGCCTTCTCAGTTGGGTGGTCTAGAGATAAAGAGGATGCCTTAAAGTTTTTACACCCCAAAGAAGAACAACAGAGTACTGATATTCTGAAAACGAAACAAGACAAAACAAAAACCATCAGTGTTCCTCAGACTTCAGACAGCTGTACAGGGGTGGGTACTAAGTGGGTCTGATTCATTCATTCATTCGTGTATGCATACACGGTTCTACTATGTGTATGCCCGAACACCAGAAGAGGGCACAAAATCTCATCATAGATGGTTGTGAACCACTACGCGGTTGCTGGGAATTGAATTCAGGATCCTAAAAGAACAGCCAGTGTTCTTAAACTCTGAGTCATCTCTCCAGGCCCAACTAAGTGGTTTTTAAATATCTAATCCTTCTTATTTTTCCATTTTAAGAACAACCAATTACATTTTTATTAGAACTTTGAACAACAGTTAAAAATGCATGTTTGAAACCAGTGAAAGCATGCCAATAGGCTAAGTCTATGGCGATCATGAGGTTGAGCCCAGGATCCCGGTGGTGCACATCATAAGGCAAACTGGTGAAACTGTATTTGCTGGCTTCTGCTTCTCAAGACTCCTGTGGGGACTAGCTAACATGTAAAAGTACTTACAAATCTAAACTCATCAAGTAAACACAGCACAACTATGTGTCACTGAGAATCCCTGTCAACCTCTCCAGGGTCCCAGCCTTCTGTCCCATAGAATCACTGTGTTTAAAAAGCATTTTGAGTCATTACAAAAGTTACAGCCCTTAGCAGTCACACAGGTAGAGTCCACAGTGTCCTTTAGGTGGAAGGACAAAGATTTCTCTGCTTGTTTTGCATGTGGGAAAGTTTAAGGTTTAATTCCCTCGTCAATTGAAGTAACAACAGTGGCTGTCTCCTTTGGTTTTAGGAACAGTTGATACCCCATCTCTGCAAGAAAGAATTCAAGCCAGGGACGATCCCAAAGAGGTATGTATGTTGTGTGTGTATGTATGTATGTATGTATGTATGTATGTGTGTGTGTGTGTGTATATATATATGTACATATATATACATATATATATATATGTATATATATCTCAATCAGTCTGAATGCTTTCAAACCTTTGGCCAAAGTTTTTTAAAGAATGAAAAGCCCTGTTCCTTGTCTGGAGTGGATAGATTCACAGAGACAGAAAGGACAGTAGGAGCTGCCACATCTGAGAGAGGGGAAAGTCACTGCTCAGTAGCTGGAGATGTTCATTTTTGCAAGACGCAAAGAGAGATGGGGTCTGGTGCTCACGGCACTAAGTGTGTGTGTACTTATTGCCCCTGAGCTGAGGCTTAAAAGGCCCGGGAAGCTGAATTTGATGGTCAGCTTTGTTGTTATTCTGAGGTAAAGCAGCCCTAATGGGCTGTCACTTGTGTCCCTCCTCCCCCAGCTCCCCCTGCTGGTATTACAATCTTACACCAGCACTGACCTCAATGGACATTCCTAGTGGCTTTCTGTTTGTGTTTGTTTTGTTGTTGTTTGGAATTTTTTTGTTTTGTTTTTCGAGACAGGGTTTCTCTGTGTAGCCCTGGCTGTCCTAGAACTCACTCTGTAGACCAGGCTGGCCTCAGACTCACAGAGATCCACCTGCTCCTGCTTCCCAAGTGCTGGGACTAAAGGCCTTGCACCACCACACCCAGTCCTAGTGGCTTTCTTACCTGTCACAGTGTCTGTAGACTTCAGTGTATCGTGACTAGCTTGGGTAACATGGGTGGCAAATTCACAGCAACCTCAGCTGATGGCCCTAGTCCCTCTGTAGATTCCTTGGTGATGTTACAGGGGCACAGGCACGCCAGCCACATCTCTTATCCGGAAGTGTCTCTGGCCACAGGCTCTGCAAGCTTTCCTAAACCGACAGAAGACAGGAAGGTTTGCGTCTGCAGAAGAAGTGGCCCTGCTCTGCGTGTACCTGGCCTCGGATGAAGTAAGCGCTCCTCTTCCCATTATTCAGCCACACTGGGCTACCGTGTGCTCAACCTCATCCCATGTTTGCGAGTCTGTGGTATATATTGCTAAAGTGCTTCATTCACACGATGGGGATAAGCTCTGATTTCATTTCCTCTAAGAGAAGCCGCTGTTAACTGTGACAGCAGCTCTGCCTCAATCAGTTTGCGGTGACTCAGCATCATATATCACGGATGAAAAAACACAGGGAAAAAATGTAAAGTGCATCACTGAGATATTTGCTCTTTAAAGTTACAGTTGTGGGCACGCTGATTAAATATAAAAAAAACCTCCTGGACTACCAAGGTGACTCAAGGGTAAAGACCCTTGCTGCCAAGCCTGGTGACCTACATTTGACCCCTGTCACCCACATGGTGAATGGAGACAACAGACTCCCAAAAGTTGTTTTCTGACCTTCACTGCATGCTACGCATTCACACACATAATAAATGCACACACATAGTAAATAAAATGTAATCTAAAAGAATCCTCTTGATTGTGAGAATTGAAGGGGGCTATGAGCAGGTTTGCCAACTTTCATGGGGTTTGGGGTAGAGCTGGTATATGCTGTTTTAGTTTACTAGTGGCCTGATTAGGAGGGTTCCATGATTTTTCCTGTTCTTATTTGTAATTGTGTATAGAAATGCCTAATTCTGTCTCTTTTGACTTTACACTTGTTTAATAACTAATTTCCTCCCCAGGGACTAGTGTGCATGACTGATAAAGCAAAGACTGTTACAATGTGCAGAGCTTAAAAACATCCTCTTCTGTTTGGAACCCACAATAGACAGAATAACAATTGCGCTGATGTTTAACTTGGTGAACCACTGAGTTTTTACTGGGGTTACTAACAGGAGTGTGGGTGAGGGGTTCATTACAGGAGCAGGAATGACTTAGAAAGAGCTATATCACTGAAAAGCCCGCCTTAGCGTGTGTGGGTGACCACCCTGGAGTGCTGGTGTCTGGCAGAGCCTGATCAGATGTCCCCCTCCTCCAGCAGTGTCTGAGAAGGGCAGGTCAGAGCCTTTGAGAGTCCCGAATGCTTTAACTTCCCCAGGTGTGTGAAGTTTGTGTACCAGGGTCCCCCGAGTCTCCACCCCCTCCTACAGGGACTGTTTCGTTTCTTTTGGTGGGGAGAAATGGAACCTAAGTTCCTTTTCGCAGTGACTTGGCACCACCCAGATAGTCGACGACTGTGACAGACACGATGATTTAGTTACCACTCCTCAGACTGTTGGCAGCAGTTCTCAGAATCTGGGGAATTGCTGGGTAAATTGTCACCCAAGCAATCAAGCACTTTATCGCTTTTCATGTATTTATTTAAAAAGCCCTTTCTCCTGCCTCTTCCTATGACTTCAGATCCATGTCAAACTAAGGAGACAAATGTGAGAGCTGTTTATCACCCATTTTAAGTGAATATATTTTTTATTTTTTAATTATTTGGCAATTTAGTATACCTATATAATGATCTTAACCATATTTATCCCCTATTACTCTCTCCCCATCACTCCTTTTGAGCCCTGTGTTCTCAACAAGTAGCCTCCCAGTTTATTTTTTATGACCCACTGAGCATCCTTAGGGTTGCTTTCAGAGCATGGATGTGGGATTATTTACGTGTATATGGACTACCAGTGGCTGTGTCACTGAGGAATAAGGACTCCTTTCCCCCAGCAGCCATGACTTGCCAATAGCTCTTTTGCTTAGAGAGGGGGTTTATGAGCCCCTCCCTCGCCAAGGATGGAGTGTTAATGTTCACAGTCCAGTAGGTAGCGACAGCCGCTGTGAATCCATGAGTTAAAGTCTTGTCATGTCCAAGACAACTTAAACTTTAGTTCTCTGGGAAATTGAAATGTTTACAAACATAAGCCAATAATTATTTTTAAACCCTTTAGTGTCATACAGAATTGGGCATCTGACTCTAGCGTGGAATATTATTAGACACATTAATGGATTGCAATAATTATTGCCTACAAAGGTTTTATAAACATATTCAGTGAGCTTTCATGAATTGGTCAATTAACAAGCACTCTGTTTTCCCCATTGTTAACATGACCACACATCAGAAACACTTATTAGTAGGCTGAGAGTTAGCTAGCTATAGTCGATTCTGAGTTTCAAAATGAAAAGGTTAGAGCATGTACTGTTTGCGCGTGTACTTTCTGTCACCTCTCCTTAAGTCTGTGGTTCTGAAGCCAAGCACCTAACAGACCATGTGCAGAATGTGACCTGCTCATCTGCCAAAGGCCATGTGCTCCAGGTCATGCGATGACCAGCTGTCATAAATTATTCAGACTTTCATCCCTGCCTCCCCCTCCATTCAGTTATGGTTTCCTGTTAGCATGAGTGCCAAAGGTTTTGTTATCCCAGTCATGAGAAATGTTCAAAATAGATCCTGGGTCCAGCGTGATTGACTGTTGTGTCTCCTGTGCTTGTCATTGCAGTCTGCCTATGTGACAGGCAACCCTGTCATCATGGACGGAGGCTGGAGCCTGTGACTGCAGGAACTCCTCGCTGAGAAGGCAGCTCTTCCTTCTCACAGAGAGGAAAGAAACCCGACTCAGTGATCATCTCTCCTAGGGTGACAGTCATGAAAACAGCCCCCTTTAATGATCTTTAAATAGACTCTCATCTCTTCTGAAGCTGTGGTAAACAGATTAAATAAAAGGGATAAATCAAATCCATCCAAAGAGTAGTTTTTAAAATCAGTGTGCCCGCTAGCATGCAGGGGGAAGGTGCTGAGAGACATTGTATCTAGTGAGACTGTGATTCCCGTATTCAGAGGGGCACGTTGATTCCTGTGTTCAGAGAAGGCTCATTGCTTGAGAAAGCAGAAGAGAAGAGCCCAGGCCTTTTCCACACTTAGTGAGGCATCCGTCCCTAACTGGAGAGGACACATTAGGGGCTCGGGTTTTAACACAGAAATTTGGGGAGGACACCTCAGTTTATAGCCACAAGTAAAATTAAAATATGAATAAAAAGAAAGGAGTTTTTTTCAAAACTGAAATGTTTTTGTAAAGTTCCTGCATTGTTCTGTTTGTTGACAGTACTTGATCTCTCTGCACAGCCACAAATGCGCACCACAGGTAAAAAGGACCCCGCCTCAATGACACAGGGGAGTAATTCTGATTCACAACTACATTTTTTGTCTTGTTATGTAAAAAAAAAAAATGACCAAGTGTTTACTACATATTAAACTCTATTTTCTTCGTCTAGACATTGGCTTATTAAAATCAGCAATTATATCCAATATGGGACTAAGACTATATAATTAATGTGCAATGCAGTCCATTTGAGAGGATTTTGGTAGGTTAAATTCAGCAATGTTTTTCAACGGTTTCCAGGATAACAAATTAGAAGCACATGATTCTGGAAGTAGGCTCTGCATAAATATAACTAAGTCACTAACAAGAGACAAAGTGAAGTTGAAGCAAATAGATTATTCTAGAAAAGGGGCAAGTAAATTTGTGAATGACAACTCGATAACATTGTTTACAAGTGATGTCTTTCAGCTTTAAGGCTGTGTGTGTGGGTCGTCTGTTGTCACCTTAAAAGACCCTGTGATACGAAGCCAGCACCGATCTTTGCCTTTTCAGAGACTTAACAAGCCAGGCAGAATGGCTGTGGCATCCAATGAGAGGATAACACGCTGTGTAGGCGCACTTGATGAATTTGAGTTGAAATTCACAACAAAGGGTACTTGGAGTAGCACTGCCGAGAACTCCATTGATGAGGTTAGCTAGGGTATTCTACAAGCAGGTGGTGGACTGACTTGTGTGACCTACCCCAGGACATCCAGCCTACTCTGTAGTTTAGTTGTCTGGTCTCTGTTTCTTGAGGCAGCTTCTCACTATGTAGCTCACAATGACTTTGATACCACCATCCTCCTGCCTCATGGGTGCTGGGAATATACATTGGCTAGTTTTTTTGTTTGTTCGTTTGTTTTGTTTTTTGTTTTTTGGTTGTTGGGTTTTATGTTTTTTTTTTCTTTTTTGGGTTGGGTTTTTTTTGGTATGTTTTTGGGTTTTTTTTGTTTTTGTTTTTTTGTTTGTTTTTTTGATAGGGCTTCTCTGTATTGTTTTGGAGTCTGTCCTGGAACTCGTTCTGTAGACCAGGCTAGCCTCAAATTCACAGAGATCTGCCTTCCTCTGCCTCCTGAGCGCTGGGACCACCAACGCCCAGCTAGTTTTTTATTTTATGAAATTAGGGATTTGAGCTAAATGCCTTGTCTTTCTTTCTGTCATGATCAAAATGCTGTAACTCCTTACCTAGTAGATGAGCCGAACATTGGAGTGGAGGGTAATGAAATACTGTATGTTGTGAGCAGGTTCACGTATGGCTAAAAACAAAGGAATTCCTTTAAACATGGTGAATTCTACGAGATAGATTCCAACAGCCAGCGCTGTTCACTCACTGCTGTGAGAACTTGACACCAGGAATGAATCTAGCCAAAGAGTTCAGTGCTCTCCACTCAGGCCAAGCAAATGAAGAGACATATCAAATGAGCATCATATGACCAATGGGGGGAAAAAGGAAAATATGTCTTAGTCCTGCGCGAAGAGGAAGCCGATGAGAACGGAAATTTTTACAAGTTTTAGAGAATGGGTTCATTTCAGGAAAAGAATCTTTGCCTCTGAGAAAGGGTACTGGATGGAGCCCATGTTCATCCCGAGGATGAGCCAGAAGAGGCACCCATGATTTCTGTCTGGTGTCGAAACTGACTTATACACCTGCGTCCCTGAAACCCAAGATTGAAGTTAGCACTTGCTCAAGGAGTGAAACCAGGTAAGGGATGGGAGCCGCCAAACTGTTCTTTTAGAAGCCCACACCCCCCATATTTGGGTGTGTCTTTCTTTCGCCTCTTCACCCGTGTTTAAAATCTATGTTAAAAGATCATGACAGCTGGGTGTTGGTGGCACACGCCTTTAATCCCAGCACTGGGGAGGCAGAGGCAGGCGGATCTCTGTGAGTTCAAGGCCATCCTGGTCTACAGAGCGAGTTTCAGGAAAGCCTCCAAAACAATACAGAGAAACCCTGTCTCGAAATACCAAAAAAAAAAAACAAACAAACAAACAAAAAAAAACATGACAAACTCCAACCCTGCTTTGAAAGAAAAGGAGAAAAATAGCAAAGGGGGACACCAAACTGGAAGTGATAAGCTCTGCTCCTGAAAGAACCCAGCCTCTCCACAGTCGGTGAGAAGACACTGAGTGTCCTGGAGGTGGCGAGGGATCACAGAATTCAGGAGATTCCGGAACAGTGAGGGAGTCAAACTGCTGGCCCCAACCTTGTGAGGCAGGCGGCCAGAGACTGCGGGAAGCGGGGCGCGCGGGGGCCGGGGTGTTCCTCCGCGTGAGAGCACGGAGCCCTGAGCCCGGAGAGTGCGCCCCGCCCTGCACCGCGCCCCTCCCGGTTACCGCCGCCTCCGCAGACCCAGGCTCGGTTCCCAGCCAACGGAAGCAGGGTGGCCTGTGCCGAAGACTGCTGGCAATGATGTGAGTAGCACACGCTTAGCGTGTGTGCGCGTGCGTGCGTGTGCCTGTGCGTGTTTGGTGTCCTTGTGTTACTGTTACTAGGTAATTTGAGCGGGGGTTTTCCTTGTTTTTATTTTGGGACGGCGTAGCACTTCAGGGTGCTGAGGATCATCAGGTCTGAACACGGCACCATATTAAGCTGTGGCTCTTTCACTTGCCAGGCATCGGCTTCTTGTCTCATTCTTGTTCCAGACTCGGGTGAGATTTATATCACCAAAACATTAATGGCAAGAAGCTTTAGCCTCCCAGCCAGAAACCAACACCAGCAGACAGGATGGAGCCGGGACCTGACACAGGTCTACTCTTTTCCCTAAAAGACCCACTCCCTGTGAAATGCCGAGCCGCCCACCCCCACCCCCTCCCCACCCCATGTCTGCTGCTGCATAGGCTTACTGTTTCCCTCGAAATCCTGAATGACGAGTTTCCGTTCTGCAGACTCCTACAGGTCTTTTCTGATCCAAGCAGGCACAGGGACAGGAGATACAACTGTGAATTACCTACTGTTTCCACCTACAAGAAATGCAATTCTGGGATAGAAGTATACCTAAACAATAAGTTAGACACTCAGCATCCACGAATGCCCTAGGGATGTGGGCCAAGTATCAGCCTTCTATTGCTGTGATAAACCTCAGGGCCACAAGCAACCTGGGGAGGAAAGGGTTGATTTTATCTCACTGGCTTACATCATGAAGGGAATTTGGGGTACAAACTCAAGGCAGGAACTGAGCTAGATGCCATGGAAGAATAGTGTTTACTGACTTGCTGTCCATAGCTTCCACGGTATGCCTTTTTACAGGTCTCAGAGCTACCTGCTCAGGGATGACACTTCCCACAGTGGGCTGGGCCCTCCCCCATCAATCATTAGTTAAGAAAATGTCCCACACACTTGCCTACAGGCCAATCTGATGGAGGCATTTTCTCAACTGAGATTCCCTCTTCCCAGATAATTCGAGATTATGTCAAGGTGACCAAAAAACAAACAACAACAACAACAACAAAAAAACTAACCAGCCCAATGATTAAGGCGTGTTATGTATTTTCTGGCATAAGAAATCTTTAGGGTGACAACCCCATCAACTATTTTCTCAGCAATTTTGGAGTACCCACAGAAGACATTAAGAATGAGGCCAGCTGAACCAGGTGCAATAGTGCATGCCTAGAAATACCAGCACTCAGGAGGCAGAGGCAGGTGGATCTCTGTGTGTTCGAGGCTGACTTGGTCTATACAGTGAGTTTCAAGACAGCCAGAGCTATATAGTGAGACCATGTTCAAAAAGAAGGAGAAGGAAAGGGGAGAAGGGAGGAGGAGGAGGAGGAGGAGGAGGAGGAGGAGGAGGAGGAGGAGGAGGAGGAGGAGAAGAAGAAGAAGAAGAAGAAGAAGAAGAAGAAGAAGAAGAAGAAGAAGAAGAAGAAGAAGAAGAAGAAGAAGAAGAAGCCAAGGTGTTAGTGATAGTGACCCAGGCCCGGATGCATGTTCTCTTGTCCAGCAGACTGTGGAAAACTTAAAAACTCTCCACAAACTTCCTTCCATTTGGGTTTGGGTGTAGGTCTAGAGTCTAGCAAGTAGATAATGTACTTGAATCTTCAAAGGCGGGCAAAGCCAAGGCCATTGCTATTTTTCAATGCTTCCTATCGGCAAGGAAGGCCCTGAGGGTGGCACTGTCTTGGGTCTCCTGTGCCCAGAGACTTTTAGACCCAGTCATACCATGTTAAATCCTCAACCTTGTTGCTGACAGGAGGCAGTTGGAGGAGTCGGGGAGTAGAGTAGGTCTCTCATCCCAGACTTGAAGAGACTGAGGCAGTAGAGTCCAAGTTTGAAGCCAGTGTAGGCTACACAGCGAGACCCTGTGGTGGTTGACTTGCCTTAGTTACTTTTCCACCACGACCAAGGAAGGAAACTTACAGAAGAAAGAGGTTTGGTGGCGCTTACAGTTTTAGAGGGTTAATCACCATGGCAGAGGTGTGGCAGCAGGCGGGCGGGCAGGCTCTGGAGCAGTAGCTGAGAACTCTCCTCTTAAAACACACCAGAGAGGCAGAGACGTACTGGCCATGTTGTGGGCTTTTGAAACCTCAAAGCCAGCCCTTAGTGGCACACCTCCTCCAACAAGACCACACCTTCCTTCACAGTTCTACCAACTGGGAGTCAAGTATGCAAAAATATGAGCCTCTGGCGACCATTCATGTTCAAACCATCACGAATATATTCTTGTTCTATGCAGATTGCATCCAGATCTGGGCTTCTCTAGTGGCAACTACTGTGATGTGGAAACTCTTGCCTTTGGCAAAAATAGAATATTTCTTAAGGGTCAGTTGTTAGTGTTCAGGGGCTCATCCTTGAGGGCCCAGCCTAGACCCTGCTTTTCTAGCACTTCAAAACAATCAGGGTTATCTAATTCTCTATGTAGCGCGTCTTCCCTTTAAAATGCCTTGAGTGAGCTGGACAGAGGTGGCTAACACCTTTTATCCCAGCACTGGGGAGTTAGAGGCAGGGAGAGCTCTGAGTTCCAGACTAGCCTGGTCTAGAGTGAACTCCAGAACATCCAGGGCTACACAGAGAAACTCTGTCTGGAAAAACCAAACCAAACCAAAAACAGCAACAACAAAAAATGCCTGGAGTGACTTCTGTCATGTACATGGACACTTGAGCCATCTGAACCTAAACTGTTGTTTTGGGTTTTTTTGTTTTGTTTTGATTTATTCCATTTTGGGTTTTGTTATATGGGAAGTGACGCTCTGGGGTTAGGTCTGGAGGTCATTCCTTGAACTGCTCACATTTTTGTACCTGCTATACCCTAGGTAATACGGCACATAGAATTCCCATCATGAACGTCCACATCACTCATGATCCTTTCTCCTACAGTTTCTTTGCTTGGAATGGTCTGTTCTATGACTTCTAAATGAAATCATTTTTCAGGGTCAGAGTCCAGCATCTCATGACTACCCCAGCGTTTTGACTACTAATTACCAAGAGGCTAGCCCGTGTTTCAACACTGCTTCTCATATGAAGTTCTCAGAGCTGGTTCTGTAACAAATTCACCTGTTATAGTTGCCAAACTGTGTCGGCTGTAGTAACAGGATTTATTTCTTTGTCAAAACTCCTTGAAAATAGAATTCCCTTTCTCACAGAGCATGAGGTATGAGGGGGTCGTTGTCCAGGGTTTATTCGGTAGCCCAGTGATCTCAGGGCCCTATATTGCTGTCTGTGATTAGCCAAGTTTGACTTTTTGTCTACGAAGACTGACTGTTAAGTTTCCAAGACACATTATCAACACAAATGGGCACTTAAAGACAAAAAAATTAATTTTTTCTCTTTCTTTTTACTAAGAAGAAATTTATTAATCCATTGGCAGGAATCCTTCATAGCCCTGGACCAAAATCTGAAAAACAGTCTTGTTATAGAGACCAATTTAGACCTGTCGTGACTTCATCCCTAGAGTCAAGCAAATAATGCATTGTCATATCCGAACAAGTGGCCTTTAGATGTGCAGTAAGCCATGTCTATAACACATAAGTGACCCCAAATCTAAAAATAAGACGTTAAAATTGCAATTAAAAGTTTTGCCCTTGGAAGGAAGATAGACTAGAGAGAAGCAAGAATCGGGTTCCTCCTTATTTTGCTATAATTTTCTTACATTTATATTTCATCAGTGTTTTCCATCATGAAGAATCAACAATATCTCCGGGGTAAGGAACCAAATAGTGTAACTGATGCTTTCCTTGGTTAGCTTGGCCTCCTGTGGTCCACACACCTAGAGTTCTCAGAGAAGGTCATTCTCAAAGGGAAACATTCTTAGTCATTCCAGGAATTCTCAAGGAAAGTTTTAACCTCCTCTGTCCTGGTCTGAATTCCTCACTGCTGAGTAGAGGACCTCTTGACGTGTGAACCTTACATTGGGGTTAGTAAGCAGAATCCACAACTAGAATATGTGTTCTACATAGAAACTTCCTATGGAAGCCTGGTATGTTGGCTCACTGAGGAGGGTCGGGCAAATGGTTGCTAAATGAGGTGCTAGCTAGCTTAAGCTACAAAAGGGAGTGCTTCCTCAGAAGAAACAAGGAGAAATAAACAAACAAAAGGTGCTGTGTGAGTCTGAGAATCTACTGTTTAGACACTTGACTGGATGAACACCAAATGTAGGAGACTATTACTACTGTAGTCATTGTAGAATACTTAATGAGCAGCCATGGTAATGGACTCTTAAACGTATACAGCACAGAGAGTATTCCCACACTCAGTCCACTCATGCTGCTATAGCAAAATACTGCAAGCTGGCTAATTTACTAGAGTAATAGTAGGTATTTATTCCTCACAGTTTTAGACGCAGGAAGTTCCAGGGTTATGATTCTTAAAGATTTGGTGTCTGGTAAGAGCTTTCTCTCCGTTTATAGTACCTTCTTGTTGTATCCTTGTCCTCTTGTGGAGGGATGGAGGGACAATGCCACATGACATTGCCGAATAGGAAGAGCTGTTCCTTCAGCCTCCTTTTACACACACACACACACACACACACACACACACACACACACACACACACAACACACAACACACACACACACACAAGAGAGACAGGTCTATATACCCCTGGCTGTCCTGCTGTCCTGGGACTCTCTGGTATTAGTACTGAACTCACAGAGATCCTCTGGCCTCCTGCTGGGATTAAAGATGTGTTAAGCCAGGTGTGGTGGCCCACACCTTTTGTCCCAGCAGTGGATGCAGGGGCAGGTGAATCTCTAAGTTTGAGGCCAGCCTGGAGTGCAAAGTGAGTTCTAGGACAGCCATGGCCACACAGCCACACAAAGAAACCCTGTCTCAAAACAAACTAACAAACCATGCCTGGCCCTTCAACCTCTTTTTAAAGAGCAGTATTCCATTCAAAGAGTGGGTCATAAAAGTGACTTAATCCCTTCCTAGGAATCTATATCACTTACTGATATCCCTCTTGGTTTAAGTTCCAAAATGTGAGCTTTGGAGAAATAGAGGCATTACAAATGGTGTCAAGCAATATATGTAAATTTTCAGTAAGATTCCCCCATTAAACTTTGACCTGTCCATATCACAGGCAAGAAATGTAATGGTTAATCTTGATTGTCAACCACTGAATTGAGAATTACCTAGGAGAATAGAAAAAGGAGATCTAACCTAGTGAGCTGATTAATCACTTAATGGGGTCATAAAATTATGGAATTATTAAGAGTTAAAATATGAGACCAATATGAGATTTAAAATATAATATCTCATTTAAGGATGCAGGTCATTGGGATGGATCCTTGCTGGCTATCTCTTACTTTGGCCAATTCCTTTATAGTCCCTCTCCGGCCCTCCGTGTGTGTGTGTGTGTGTGTGTGTGTGTGTGTGTGTGTGTGTGTGTGTCTGTGTGTCTGTGTGTGTGTGTATGTTAGTGTCCGTGTATGTGTATGTTAGTGTCCATGTGTGTCTGTGATGTATGTTAGTGTCTGTGTGTCTGTGTGTCTGTGTGTGTGTGTGTGTATGTTAGTGTCCATGTATGTGTATGTTAGTGTCCATGTGTGTCTGTGTCCATGTGTGAGTGTGTGTGTATGTCAGTGTCCGTGTGTGTCTGTGTGTGTGTGTGCATGTTAGTGTCTGTGTGTGTGTATGTTAGTGTCCGTGTGTGTATGTATGTGTATGTTAATGTGTGTGTATGTGTGTGTATGTGTGTGTATGTTAGTGTGTGTGTGTATGCATGTGTGTGTATGTTAGTGTGTGTATGTTAGTGTCTGTGTGTGTATGTTAGTATCCGTGTGTGTATGTATGTGTATGTTAATGCGTGTGTATGTGTGTATGTTAGTGTGTGTGTGTGTGTGTGTGTGTATGCATGTGTGTGTGTGCTGTATTCTCCTCCATTCAATCTCACCCTTTCACTCTACTCTCCGGTTTGCTCCGGCTCTCCCTCTCCTTCTTCCTGGTTACTACAGCAGACCTGCTCTGCCCTTCACGCAGTATGATGCCTCTGAAACCATGGGCTCAAATAAATCCTTCCTCCTATATGCTGCTTGCGTCGGAACTTGTGGCACAGCAAGAAAAGCAACGGCAGAGAGCATGACCAGTGGACTGTGATGCTCTCAGCTATTAAGAAAGGAGACCAGCCTTTCGAATATGTTTAGTTTATTCACACAAGCACTTCTTATAACACCATGCTAATATAAAGGTTATGGGAATCTTATGTAAACAGACATCTCACCAAGAGGGAAACAGTTGGTCAAGACAGAAAACTGCCTCAGGGTTCCACTGGTGAATCCTCTCTGGTTAGAGCACTTCCGAAGCTTGCAGGCTTAACCCAAATGTGCCCTAAAGTCCTTCAGCTGTGGTAGGCCAGAGGATGGCATTGCCCTTGGGAGCACCGGCCAGCCCTTAGCACTGACAGGTAGACCTGTATGGGAAGCAAGACCCACACGAAGGCCAGTCTCAAAGTCCCCTTGCCTGTGGGGATCAGCGCAGAGGCTTGAGATCCATGTCCCCGGAGCATGGCAGTGCAGTCCCCAGGAGCCACTCTCTAGTTTTACCCCTTAACTCTTTGTGTGTTTCAGTGCACGGTTCATCGGGCTCACCGTGTGTTTAACTCTGGGGTATTTCACACATTTTAACACAAATATTTTTCTGTTTTGTTCACAGTCAAAAACATGTTAGGTTCAACTGTAAATATTTTTTCTTCTTTTACAACAATAACATTCTTTAAGTCAAAACGTGTTTATATTCGTTTTGCCAAACCAAATTGTTATTTCATAACAATATGACATGTTTTCAACATAATTTGCAAGTTACACAAAAATTGTTTCACTTATGTTCCCATCACTAACTAATTCAACAAATAAGAAAGCAGCCAGTCTGGGGTTGGAGGGATGACTCAGCATTGAGTCCGTTCTGTGTTGGGTTCTGTGGTGTTTGAATGAGAACGGCCCCTACAGACTCACATATTTGAACGCTTGGTCCTCAGTTAGTGGAACTGTTTGGGAAGGATTAGGAGGTGTGGTCTTATTAGAGGAGATGTTTTACTGAAGATGGGCTTTGAGGTTTCAAAAGCCCATGCCAGGGCGAGCCCCTCTCTCTGTCTAAAACTTGTGGATCTGATGTGCACTCCCATCTACTGCCTGTATGCCTGCCTGCTGCCATCTCCCCTCTTCCCGTCATGGATTCACTCTCCTAAACTGTAAGGAAGCCTCTAATTAAATGTTTTCCTCTATAAGTTGTCTTGGTCATGGTGTTTCATCACAGCAATAGAACTGTAACTAAGACAGGTTCCCCAGCACCCGCATCAGGTGGCTCACAACTGTCTGTAACTCCAACTCTGTGGGATCCAGTGTGTTGTAGTTTAACAAAGCAGCACATGAGAGAAAGATGCCACGTGACAGAGTCTGGGTGGAGGGGTTTTGTACTGAGGGGAAGTGAATGGGAAAAGGAGGGAAGGGGAAGGGGAGACTAGTCTCTGGGGACAGGAGCAGTGGAAGAGAAGAGAGAGGCAGGCAGAGGCAGAGAGGGGGGGGGAGTGAGAGATAGAACAGGGCAGGACTCTTTTAAAAGGGAATGTAGTGAATGTGCACAGGTGGTGCTCTTAGTGGCTGCAGCTGAGGTTGTATCCTGTCAGAACCCCAGGGGCAGTCCAGTACAGATGACTGAGTACTAACACAGTGCCCTCTTCTGGCCTCCCTAAGCACTACACCCCTGTGCACTAACAACAGGCACACATACACATTGGAAGGGGACTCCCACACATCTTCTCCCAGACCCTGGACTAGGCACAAACTGCACCAAACACCTGTTTTCACAGACAGATCCTTTGTTAAGCAGGGAAGAAAGTTACAGTGGCTGCTTTCTGACTCAGGCAGAAAACGGCAGCAAATGACCTTGCAGGTGTCATTTTTTAAGAGGAGGAAAAGAGGAGGTCTGCATTAGAATGGGCTAGGATGAGGTGGTGAAGGAGACAGAGGATGAGGGAGAAGAGAAAGGGGACAAGGGGGGCAAGGATGTTTGTCCCAGAGGGATAAAGGACTACCTCTGGATAGAAGGGAGACAGACATGGCCCATGGGCAAATGGAAGTTTATGAAGGTAAAGAAGCCCAGTGATAGAATGAATGAGCGGTTAGTTTTGATTGGTCATGTTAATTAAGGTGGCCAAAGGGGGCTTCTGATTGCCAGACGTCGTCACTTCCATAACTGGATCTCAGCAGTCGGCCTCAGGAAGAAGCGGCCAAATTTGGGAATGGACCTTGATGGCTAGCTTTATGGGTGTAATGTAACAGGTTTTAGCAAGGCAGAGGAGATGGGAGGGAAGGACAAGGGCTGCCAGAGCCATGCTTGCCATATTCTGGCTAGAGCCCCTTCACACAATTTAAAACAAACTCATTAAAGTAAAGTGACTGACTGATCTCTGCCCGTGCAGAGCCCCTCAATATTAGTCAATTCATTGAAGGAGGCACACCTCACTTGACATTTGCAACTATGTAGCAAGAAGTAATTGTAATTTTAGTTTTAAAAAGAAGCTCCAGAATGAAAGGCTTGTTTAACAAAAACCTGACTTTATGGGAAGTATATTTATAGAAACTTTTCGCCGGCGTTGGTGGCCCATGCCTTTAATCCCAGCACTCGGGAGGCAGAGGCAGGCAGATCTCTGTGAGTTTGAGGCCAGCCTCCAAAACAATAGAGAAACCCTGTCTCGAAAAAAACAAAACAAACAAAACAAAACAAAAAAGAAACTTTTCAAAGTCTGCTTCACATGCCTGTGGAGAAGGACAAGGATGTAGTAGGCCCCTCTCCCCCCACCCCTGCCTCCTGTCACTTGTCCCATTTGTTAGATTTAAGGAGTTTCCTTCATTTGAGGCACATTTCTGTCTTAGAAATATTTGAAAACGGTTGTAAAAGATCCCTAAGTGCTTCCTCACCTGCTCTGAATAACCACAAAAACAGAAAATGATCTCAAATTGTAGCAGGTAGAATTAAGTTAGCCCCCCACCCCAGAAAAAAACAGAATAACCCAGGCGGTGGTGGCGCATGCCTTTAATTCCAGCACTCGGGAGGCAGAGGCAGGCGGATCTCTGTAAGTTCGAGACCAACCTGGTCTACAAGAGCTCATTCCAGGACAACCTCCAAAAGCTACACAGGGAAACCCAGTCTCAAAAAAACAAAAACAAATAAAAAACAGAATATATCCAAGAAAATTATTATGGCTGAGGCAAACTATATAATTTTTTTCTCCAAAGCTTTAAAATTGCACATATCCAGTTCTAAATATACTCAAAGTTTCACATGGGGAAATCTTACTGCAACCATCATAACAATACAGAAAAACAGACAAGGCAGAAATAAGTGACTCTCAGGAAACGATAGGATGGGGATCGGTTTCTGCTGGTGACTCATTTCTGGTGTCAACACTGGAAGCTTACTGTGCATTCCTGCTTGGTGGAGTCAGCCCATTAGCCAAGGCAGTCTAGAAGTGATACTGCTCTGTGTGTTTCAACGCATAACTCTCAAGGGACGGTGGGAAAGGAACTAAGATATGATAGGCCAACAAGGGTTTATTTCAAGAGCAGCCAAAAACTCGGTAAGAATGAAGATAAATATGTTGGGCTCAGAAAACAAGGGTCAGCGATGGAAAGGTGGGAGAGGTCTGACTTAGTGTGGGTCCACCCTCCAGGTTCCAAGGAAAGAGAGAAGTGGATTTACTCATTTACTTCCAATGATCTTCAATTTCTGCCGTGTTTCCTTCAATCCAGATCTTGCTCCTCATCCTGAATCATCGTCTTTGAAATTACAAGACATGGAGGATGAAGACAAGACTGTTGGATTTCATGATTCAAAGCCACCCACAGGGACCAGTCACACAGCTCCTGTGGATCAAGGACCACAGGTAAGGTTGTCAATCAAAGGCAGGAAATCTTCTCATTATAGGAAGGGCTTTCAAGGTAGCCGCTCCACTATTGCTTAGCGTCCTAGTTGGGGTCATGTTTGTGCATCTCTGTACAATTCCCTAGTGTCAGATTTCTCTTTACCTACAATGGCTCCCTCTGTTGATGTGCCTCTTTTGTTGCTCTCCTCTATTCCTCTCCCCACTGTCTTCCTGATCCCTCATGTTCTCCTTCTCCCTCCTCTTCTCCCCTCCTCTTTCTCCTACCTTTCTCCCACCTCCCCCCCCATAATCCCAATTTGTTCAGGGGCTCTTGGGTTTTCTGCTTCACTGGGAGACCGTGCATATCTCTCTTGAAGTCCTCCTTGTTTCCTAGCTGCTCTGGAGGTGTGGATTGTAGGCTGGTAATCCTTTTCTCTATGTCTAATATCCATATGTGAGTGAGTACATACCATGTTTGTCTTTCTGTGACTGGGTTACCTCACTTAGGATGGTTTCTTCTAGTTCCATCCGTTTGTCTGCAAATTTCAAGATTCCATTGTTTTTTCTGCTGAGTAGTACTCCATTGTGTAAATGTGCCACATTTCTGTATCCATTCTTTGGTTGAGGGGCATCTAGGTTGATTCCAGGTTCTTTCAATTACAAATAATGCTGCTATGAACATATTCAAACATATGTCCTTGTTGTATGAATGTGAATCCTTTGGGTATATGCTAAGAGTGGAATTGCTGGATCTTGAGGTAGACTGGTTCCCATTTTCTGGAGAAACCGCCATACTGATTTCAAAAGTGGCTGTACAAGTTTGCACTCCCACCAGCAGTGGACGAGTGTTCCCCTTTCTCCACATCCTCTCCAGCATGGACTGTCATTGGTGTGTTTGATTTTAGCCATTCTGAAAGGTGTAAAATGATATATCAGAGTTGTTTTGATTTGCATTTTCCTGATGGTTAAGGATGTTGAGCAATTTCTTAAGTGTCTTTCAGCCATTTTAGATCCCTCTATTGATAATCCTGTACCCCACATTTTAATTGGTTTATTTGGTGTTTTGGAGACTTGCTTCTTGGGTTCTTTGCATATTTTGGAGATCAGCCCTCTGTGTGATGTGGGGTTGGTGAAGATCTTTTTCCTTTCTGTGGGCTGCTGTTTAGTCTTGTTGACTGTGTCTTTTGCCTTTACAGAAGCTTCTCAGTTTCAGGAGGTCCCATTTATTAATTGTTAATCTCAGTATCTGTCCTACTGGCGTTATGTTCAGGAAGTGGTCTCCTGTGCCAGTCAGTTCACGAGTACCTCCCACTTTCTCTTCTAAGAGATTCAGTGTGGCTGGATTTATGCTAAGGTCTTTGATCCATTTGGATTTCCTAGAGCCTTCATCCAGTAGCTGATGGAAACAGAAGCAGACCACAGCTAAGCACTGAGTCAAACTCCTAGAATCCAGTTTCAGAGAAGGAAGAGTGACCAATAAAAGGGTCAAGACCACACTGGGAAAACCCACAAAAACAGCTGACCTGAGCAAGTGGGAACTCATGGACCCCAGTCTAACAGTTGGGGAACCAACATAGGACCAAACCAGGCCCCCTGAACATGGGTGTCAGCCAGGAACACTGGGAAGTCTATGGGACCTCTGGCAGTGGAACCAGGTTGTATCCCTAGTGCAAAACAGACTTGGGGGGGGAGGCCATTTCCCATGGAGGGATACTCTCTTAACCTAGAGACACAGGGGAGGACCTAGGCCCTGCCCCAAATGACTTGACAGATTTTGATGATCCCTCATGGAAGGCCTCACCCTCCCTGGGGAGTAGATGGGATGAGGAGGTTAGTGGGGGGGGGCATAGGAGCATGAGAGGGAGAGGGAATTGGGATTGATATGTAAAATAAGATTGTTTCTAATTTAAATAAAATTTATTTTTTTAAAAAAGGCAGGAAATCCAGCAGTTTCCCTAAGCACACTGCCGTGTGTTTCCAAACTGAGAGAATTGTTTCTCCTCACTCTTTCCCAGTCAAATTAACAATTCTCCCAGAAGGGCGAGATGACACTCCTAAAATGCCAGTACTCAGAAGAGTGATGCAAACATACTATGAGTATGCAGCCAGCCTGAGTTGCCTAGTGAGACCCTGTCTCCAAAGAGAGAGGGAGGGAGGGAGGGAGGGAGGGAGGGAGGGAGGGAGGGAGGGAGGGCAGGAGGAAGGGAAGGAGAGAGGGAGAGAGGGAGAGAGGGAGGGAGGGAAGGAGGGAGGGAGGGAGGGAGAGAGGGAGAGAGGGAGAGAGGGAGGGAGGGAAGGAGGGAGGAGGAAGGGAAATTCTTCTCATGCTTAATTCCGATGATCATATAGACCAGGGTAGATAATCTGTACCCATTTCCCAGTTAAGGTCACTGGTAGCTGGCCCTACCCAAGATTGGAAAAATAGCCTATGCAATGCTGTGTGTTCCTGGCCTAAGCCCTAGAAGGATTTTGTGTTCTTGCCCTCCTTGCTCTCTCTCTTTCGCTCTCCCTCCCTCACCATCTCCTTCCCTCCCCCCTTTCTTAAATCACTTTGGTGTATTTACCTGCTATCATCTTGAGTTGTGTCTTAACTATATCAATTTGGGGCCTAGTATTATACAACATAGCTTTATGTTTACGTGACTTAAACATTTAAATCTCTAAAAATAGGGACTCGTTAAGTATTCTTCAGTGGTTCTTGTTCTAAGCACTAGCTGACTTGTTGATAATAAAGTTATGTGTTTCTTTATAAGCTACTACCCTAGATTTTAATAATGGCAATTTGACTTGAAATGTGATAAGCCAAAGGCTAAAGGATGCATGAAAACATAGTTTGAAAGATTTAAAATTTTTGTTTTGAATACAGGAAGAGAGAGTTGTGAACCTCAAGGGTGTAGATGGGAACGAGCCAACAGAAGACAGCAACCTGCTGAATAGTGGTGAGAAAAAGCCACAGGAATCGGCAACAGAATCCGGTCGCCTGCAGAGCGTGAGGCGAATTCTGGCTTGCCCTCCACACGGCTCGTTGGGGAAAGTGATAACAAATGGTGTGTATATGGCCAAAAGATCAGACATGAAGTTTCCAAAACCACATGGTTAAAAGGACGAGAAGACATGTACTTCTTTCTTAAATCATGTTGTCTCTGCTCCACACAGTCACGGGTGGGGGGTGTTCAGGAAAAACTCTACCATCTCAGACTGGTTTTAAAGGTGTCTGTGGTCACCACATTTGAGCCAGTATTATGTAAATGTTGACACCATTAGAGGGAAAGCAGTGTGACTAACATTGAGCAAACAGTGATCATTTTATGCTTGAGCTCAGGGAACTGTAGACGGAGGGGTCTGTCCCACCTGGCTCCACGGCCGCTTTGCTCCAAATAAACACACAAAGATTTATGTTAAGTATAAATGTTTAGCCGATGGTTCAGACTTCTTATTGGCTAGCTCTGTCTTAATTATTAACCCATTTCTATTAATCTATGTATTGCCACAAGGCTGTGGCTTACCCATAATCCAGCATGTCACTCCTTGGGCAACATGGCGTCTATCTGGCCGCCTCTCTCTGCCTCCTCCCCCCACCGCCTTCTTCTGGTCTGGTAGACCTGCCTATGCTTCCTGCCTGGCTACTGACCAATCAGTGTTTTCTTCATCAACCAATAAGAGACATATATACAGAAGGACATTCCCCATCAGGGAAGGGAGAATTTGTCTGGACTGTTGGAGATATTGTTTCAGTTGAGATATATTTGTCTTTAGTTTATGAAGGTAACCTAAAATATTTTAGAAATTTGATGAATGCATACATGTTCATAATTAGTGGTACAATTTTTGTTCACAAAGGAGAAGAGAGGGAATGAGAGAGGGAAAGAGTGTGTGTGTGTGTGTGTGTGTGACATGTGCATGCATGAACTTTCATGGTATGTGTTAACGGTACAATACCACAAGAAAGAAGGGGTTTTAAGACAATGTTGAGAACTGTTGAGAAATGAAAACACAATTGCAGTATATTTATGACTTTCTATTTCCTGAAACAAGGCTCAATTCTCAATTCCCAGTTCCCTTGACCTTGGGGTGTGTGTGTGTGTGTGTGTGTGTGTGTGTGTGTGTGTGTGTGTGTGTGTGTGTGTGTGTTGCTTTGTTTCAATAAACGCTGTCTGTGTAGCTCAGGACTCATGATCCTCCTGCTTCAGCTGCTTCAGCGCTGGGTTTCAGGCCTGTACCACCCACCCAGCCTCACCACTCACCCAGTCTGAGGTACATTTTTTGGAGCTGTGCTTTACAAGGGAGCTCTCATAGAGATTTTTATCATTTTCATGCAGGACAATGAAAACAAATGTAATACGTTATACTTTAGGCAGTGTATGTTTTCACTGGAAAAGTTAGATTCTGAACCAGTGTGGAAAAAATATTAAACTGTTTGGAACACAGAAAACTAGGTCTCAAAATATAACTAGTTGAAGAGGCTGCCCATAATTTGATACCTCTTCTCTCCTTTATATTATTCTTAAACTTTTAACACTGAAAATACGACATATATCAAGTTTAAAAATTGTAATAAAAACAGATACTGATTGCCAGGGGAATATGTAAAAAAGAATAATGTGATTTTTATTTTTTCCTTTTTCGCATCTTTGTGGCCCGTGTGCTTCTGTATGTGCATGTATGTATATCCCATGTGTGTGGAGGCCAGAGATTGATGCCGGGCTGTCCTCCTTCACTCCCCACTTTACATAGTGAGGCTGCTGCCTCCTCTTTGCATGATTTGGCCCCCCAGCCCCAGACTAGGGATTGATCTAACTGGTGGCAAGGGAATGAGAAGAAAAGCTGGGGTCAGGTGGGCTGGGCTCTCTGACGGAGGAGCTGCACGACCTGGCACATCAGCATGTTTATTATGTCTCGCTGAACACAGAAGAGGGCTCATCACATCCAGATAAACAAGGAGCCAGGGTTATTACACACAGGTGAACAAAGAGACAGGCAGATTCAGCTAACCTCAGTGGGAGCAGACTCCGTAGGGGAGAGGTCTTCAGGCTGTGAGCTTCCAGGGAGAAGACTAGAGTAGACACAGTCAACATTTGCACTTGGTTGGGAATAAGGCTTTATCATCCCTTTGAAGCTCACTAGGGAAAGCTTTTCTACTTTGTGGGACTGGGACATTGGTCCTTGATGTGACCATGCCCAGAGCAGCAACACACACTGAGAATTTCACTGGCTCCCTACAGCAGGGTCTTGCTTGGGTCCAAAGCTCACTGATTCACCTAGTCTCTCTAGCCAGCTTGCTCTGAGAGTCTGTCTGTATCTCTGAGCGCTGGGGTTACAGGATGATTGTCATATTGACTTCAGCAATTTCTGCTAGGGATCCGAGCTCTCATCCTCACACTTGCATGGCAAGCGCTTTAATCACACAGCTCTCTCTGCCACCTGAGAACTCATCTTTAAATTTGGAATTTTCAGAAACATTCCTGGGAGGTGAGGGCTCCTGGTCGGTAAGCATGTGCAAACTGTTTTCCTGTATTTCGACTTCTGAGGTTGATAGAGTTGTTCTGTAGTCGCTCCTGCATCACTTAACATATACAAACGCTTCTTGGAAAGTAATTATTGAATGAAAGGCGTGGTTTTCCGAAATCATAAATGACAAATACGTTATTGACTGATTTAAACCTGTCTTAGAGATACCTTATAGATATACACATAAATGACATTCACAATGGTTGTGAATGAAAAGAGAGTTAGAGATTTTTAAAGTGATCTTAGCGTGGAAAAATGAAAACTCTTAGCACTATCTGTGGAATTACTGAGAAGTTCAGTTTATACTTTTAATAAAGTCAGTCTTAACAGCTGGCAAGGCACGCCTTCCATTCTGTCTGTAACATCTTCTGGAAATCTAAACCTGTATACTCTCTTGGAAAATACTGAAAGTACCATAGATATTTTATTAAAATAATAGCTTACGTCTCTGAAAATTTTTTTGAGGTTTTAGAAAAAGAGGCATTAGGTTTGGTCGCTGGGTTAATTACCTTTCTCGTTTTGTGATAACATAGCAATAGGTCGTGTCCTTTTTTTTTTTAATTCGATAATTCTAAGCAAACATTGACTGTAAAAGAAGTGATGGTTAATGTTTAATTCAAGGCAGAGCTGAATACTGGAGTATCACTGGAGTGCAAATATTCTCAAGTTTCTACTCAGAGCACAAAGACAGTGAGTTCTCTGTAATATTAATTGTTCCTGTGTTGCAAGATGGTGGTTCCTTCTGGCATTGTGAAGGGGAATGCGGCTTAGAATGTGATATAGGTGTACTCAAAGGTATTGTGCACGCCCTGGTTCTTAAACTGGTTGGTAATCACCTAGTTGTTTACATCATCATGTCCGTTATAATTTATGGTTATAAACATTTGCATATGGATTCACTGTTTACTTAAAAATTATTTCGGAATACAACAAAGCTTGCATGTAACAAGTTTTTCTGGTGTTTTGGGTTTCATTTTTTGTGGGTTTTTTAATCTTTTTTTTTTTTTTTTTTAGGTACCATGGTTGTTCTTCTGTGGGCTGTGGTTTGGTCAGTTACAGGCCCCGAGTGTCTTCCTGGAGGAAATCTGTTTGGAATCATAATCCTATTCTATTGTGCTGTCACCGGAGGTAAACTTTTTGGACTCATCAAGTTGCCAACATTGCCTCCTCTGCCTCCTCTTCTTGGTGAGTGCTAAATTCTTCCTGATTTCCTCAGAGCAAATGATAGCATTACAAAACACCCTGGGAAGCTTTGGAAAATAAAAAAATAAAAGTATTTTCTGTCTTGGAGACAAAAGCCAAATTTTAATAAAAAAAAAAAATAGTGTGTGTGTATGAGTGCGTGAGTATGTGTGTGTTGTGTGTGTGAGTGTATGTCAGTGTGTCAGTGTATCAATGTGTGTGCATAAGAGTGTGAGTGTGAGAGTGTGTTGTGAGTGTCAGTGTGTGTGTGTATCAGTGTGTGTGTATACATGCATATGCTATGTGTAACAGCTTTATAGAGCCATTTCTGTCCTTCCATCTTTATGTGGGTTCTGGGGATCAAGCTCAGGTCTCCAGGCTTTCTAGACTGGCACATTACCAGCTAAGCCATTTGTCTGCCTCCAGTCGTTAAAGGAGTTTTGTGATCCAGTTTTTAGATGTGGTGGCTTTTTTAAAATTAAGTAATATAAATTTACAATGAAATAGTTTATATGTAAAAAGATCAATGAGCACTCAAAATGTACCATTTTTACTCTATTTCCTCTTTTCTAAGCTCTTGAGGTTATGGCTATACCATTTAATCATGTGTCTGTGCCCATTTTTTTCTGAACTCCATAAACAGTAACTTCACAGTCATACACTAAAATAAGCTTTGCTATAAGTGTCTGTGATGCAGAAATCAACAAATACTGCAAGGTGGAGCTTGTTAAATTTGTTTTGTTTTGTTTGTGTTTGGTTTTGTTTTTTGGGTTTTTTGTTTTGTTTTGTTTTGTTTTTGACACAGAGTTTTTCTGTGTAGCCTTGGCTGGTGTGGAACTCACTCTGTAGACCAGGCTGACTTTGAACTCACAGAGATCCACCTGCCTCTGCCTCCCAAGGGCTGGAATTAAAGGCACACACCACTACTGTCCAACGAGGACTTGATAAATTGTAAGTCACTCATTAGCAGAGTGACATTTTGATGTGTAATTTTGTTAAATTCTTATTTTACCATCAGGGTTAGTAAAAATGCCAACCTGGACCCAGGGCAGTATCCTGTCTGCTGGGTAGTATAGGCTTCTTTGCTGAGACAGTTAGGTGTAACTTTTTATTTCACTTTGAGGTTGATCAAACTCTGTTGAACTTGGTCTGTTTTGGTTGTAAGTACAGGAATCTGGCAAGTTGGAATGAAGACAATCTGAGAATTTAGTAGGACTGAGATGAATTGCGGTATGACACTGTGACTTTTTTTGCTGTTTTTTGTTTGCTTTTGTTTTCCAAGATAGGGTTTCTCTGTATAGCCCTACCTGTCCTGAAACTCAGAGATCCTCTCCTGAATGTTAGAATTAAAGGCATGTACCACCATGCCTGGCTACTGTGACCTTTCATTCCTCAGTGATGTCTTAGTTTTAGCTTCGAGTGTGTGTGTGTGTGTGTGTGTGTGTGTGTGAGAGAGAGAGAGAGAGAGAGAGAGAGAGAGAGAGAGAGAGACAGAGAGAGAGAGACAGAGAGAGAGAGACAGAGACAGAGACAGAGACAGAAACAGAAACAGAAACCGAGACAGAGAGACTCTTAACATTATCCCTTCTACAAACAGGGTGGTCTAAATACTCCTGATGTGGACAACACAGGTTGGACTTGATTTGGACTTGATGGGGTTAAGAATAAGCATAAATAAACTTAATAAACACAAATAAACAGGTATTGCAGGCTTCTTCATAGTGATCTAGAAAGACCAGAACAACAGAATTCAGAACTCAGAGTTGTTTTTTTTTTCCTAGACTGAACACCATGTTAGTGTCTGTAGCAAGTCACATTTTGTCTCTATTTTTATACAGTGTCCTAACTTTAGTTAATGTGTTTATCACAGTGAAGAAGTACCACAGAACAGGCATAGAGGGCAGAGACCTCAAGGTCTTTGATAGAGAGATCAGTCCCTTCATATGTACTGGTGCCCTACATGTGGGCAGAATTCCCTTACAAGGACTTATAATTCCCTTACAGAATCCATTACAAGGTTTAGTTACATTTAGTTATCCGAGGCTACTGTGATGTGAAACTTCTTATGCCTTCAGAGTATCCACTTTGTGTCCCAGAAACATTACACTTCACTCCCCCTAACCATCCATCCCTGCCCTGGGCCTCCTATTTGTAGCACAATTAATGAAAATCACAGATTGATATGGGGGTTCAAGCTTTAAGATGAAGATCAGAGAAACAAAGCAGCCAAGTCAAGTAGCTCTTACCTCTACCCAAGCTGAAACAATCCTGCCCTCAACACAGCAAGAGACTAATTGCCCAAACGTGGCTAGACACCAAAATGCCCCAGACTGAATATCTGTTCCTATTTTATTTACTTCAAGCGCTGGAATTAAAGGCGTGTGATCCCAAGCGCTGAGATCACCTTTGTGTGAGCTGTTTCTCTTTTAGACTGAATCAACTTCATGTAGCTCAGTGTGGCCTTGAACTAGCAGAGATCCATCTGCTTGTCTCTTGAGACCTGGGATTGAAGGTGTGCGCCACCACTGCCTGGCTCTATGGTCAGTTAGTATGACTGCTGAGATTAAAGGTGTGTATCACCATTGCCTGTCTCTATAGCTTTGCTTTCTGTACCCTCATGCAAGCTTTATTTAATAAATAATAAATAATAAATCACCACACCTATTCCCCTGTCTTTTCTCAGTCTCACACAGTTGGGGCTGTTGGGGTTGTTTCTCTGAAGGCAGCTTGTTGCTGTATTGTGGTTCCTAGCATTCGTGTATAGAAACGGTGTTCACAGTCTTCTGTCTACAGCTGATTCCATGTTCATCGTCTTGTATGAAATAACGAAGGCATCCAGTAAATGGTAAACAGTAAATAAAGGAAAAGGCACTCTCTGCATGGCAGGGCAGTGTCCGATTACCTTAATTGTCTTCCAAACCTTTACAAAGTATGTTGCGAGTATCTTACTCAATTGTCTCCTGTGAAGGTAAAATACCATCCATGTAAGCACTTATTGATAGCTCAGGTAACCTGACATTGCAGAGAATTTCAGCTGTTTGCACTAGGGGATAACTGAACTGACATTGAATTATAGCATCTTATTTGGGATTTGATCATTTTTCCTTCTAATCAATCTTTGTGTGTACCTTCTATACCCAATTATTCAGACAATATTAATTATTCTAATCATTAGTACATATGAAGTTCTTCTTTGATCCTATTATTTATTCTGTTTTTTAAAATTATGAGTTTAACTTCATTTCATCCAAAGATTAAGCATAAGGAAAAACTACATTGTAGTCCCTGTCACATGTAAAGTGTTTAAAAAAAAAATCTACCTGTTTGAAAACGTAACTAGTCCTGTTTGATCCATTCAAGGCATGCTGCTTGCTGGGTTTCTCTTGAGAAATGTCCCAGTCATCAGTGATAACGTCCGGATCCAGCATAAGTGGTCTTCTTCTTTGAGAAGCATAGCCCTTTGTGTCATTTTGGTTCGTGCTGGCCTCGGTCTGGACCCAAAGGTATGGAGTATGAATTTCTAATCATTGAATAGTAAATATGTTCTTCTGATATTACAAGCATTTATAATTATTAAGCTTCAGGAGATGAATGGATAATGCCTATGCCAATCTCAGGAAGAGGGAGAAGTTGTTTCCAGACAGGACCACTCTCACCCTGTGCCTCACTGGAGTCCAGATGTTTCCATACTATGTTTTGAAGGAACAGGTGTTACTGTGGAGGGCAAAACACAGATATAAGTTACAGTGAGAGGTAATGATTATGGGGAAATGGTGTGTCAAGTTTAATACATGTGCGTAAGGCTAACTACATGGACTCAAGGAACTGTCTTCCAAATGGAATGATCTTAGGCATGCTTTTTTTAATGCTAGTTGCCCACATACCTTTGGATGTGCAAATGAGTGTTCTTTGGAGACAAACACCCTCATCTGACCTCATTCTGGGACTGCAGGCCACGAATCAAATAGTCAGCTAGTATATGGGTTGTAAACACCTGAAGTCACCTGCATGATGGTAAACTTAGCCCCAACACTCACCAATTTCATGAGCTGAGGCCACGGACTTTAACTTGTGCCTTCTGAAATGACAACATCTGTAAAGAGGACCATTAGGTGCCTCTTGCAGGGTGTCTGTGAGAACTGGGTGCACTGTCTCCCAAACACATCAAATGCAGAAATACCTGCTGAATGAAACTAGCTGGAAAACCATGATGACCAAGCGTGGTCTGAGAAAGTGCTGGAGGTCATGTGGTCCTCTCTTGTTTTTCAGGCACTGAAGAAACTGAAGGGTGTGTGTGTACGACTGGCCATGGGCCCCTGCCTTGTGGAGGCCTGTGCTTCTGCCCTCCTCTCTCACTTCCTGATGGGGTTACCATGGCAATGGGGCTTCATACTGGGGTAATGACTTTTTTCTTTTCATATGGAGATGTCAAGGGGCATTCAGGACTTTCTGGTTCCATTTAAGAGAATATAAAATAGCATTTTCTTAAGAGAACCATAAAATACATCATGGACACTCCAGAATCGTCTAAATAGTCTAGTTTTAAGTTACAGTTTGTGTCTCTGTAGTTATTAACTTTGCAGTGACTGCAATAGTATAAGTTGCTGAAGAAGTTCTGATTTTGATTTTGTGTGTGTGTGGTTTTTTTTTGTTTTTTGTTTTTTTTACTATGTCCAATTCCAAGCCTAGGAGTTAGCTGCTGGAACACCAGAGCCTCCATAAGCAGTGTGAACCACTGTGTTCCTCTGCCAGCAGACATTGTGACTTGGTGGTTCTTCTGCATTCTTCCTATTATGTTTTCATGTCCAGAGGGTGCGAGCCATGAGACATGCACATGTCAAACGCACACAGCAAGCATTTAGTGTTTACATGTGGACAAGAAGAAATCCTTACCGTCACAAGTAGGAGATTCCAGCTCTAGCTCTGTGATTTCCAGTTATCCACGCCCTCTGTGCCTTGATGCCCTTACTTGTACCTGTTTCTCAGTGTTGTGGTGATGAAATGAGCTCATGTGTGAGGTCCTCAGAGTGGGTGTTCAGAGCCCCGTGTGTGAAAAGGCTTTGCAGCCCTATGCCTGTTGCTGTTATTAGCTCTCTGCCTGTCCTCATAACCTCCTCATTCAGACCTGTTGTCTTAGTTCACATTTCAAGATCTAAATGAAGCTCTGTTGTACTTGAGAATGCCCATGATAATTTTTCAGACCTTAAAACATCACACACACACACACAAATATACATGTTTTTTAAAAAACACCTACTATGGCCTAACTCCGTTACTGACTCAATATTTCTCATGATACATATATTGAAGGCAACCCAGGTCATTGCAAACAGATTGTCCATGGATATACTTCAAAGAGCAGTGTTTTACAGAACTTTCTGTGTACATGTTTCTGGTTTGGAGTTTCTGGACTATTTGACAGACTACAGTACTCCAAAGTCTAACCTTTAAAGGTATAGGAAAAAAAGGAGACATTGTTATGAATTCTGAGGTCGTGATATAGCAAGTAGCTTCCTTAGACCACACTGTCTGATATCCGGCTGCTTAGTTTCGTCATAGGTGCTGTGTCTCCAGCTGTCGTGGTGCCCTCGATGCTCCTTTTGCAAGAAGGAGGCTATGGTGTTGAGAAAGGTGTCCCAACTTTACTCATGGCTGCTGGCAGCTTTGATGACATTTTGGCCATCACTGGCTTCAACACATGCTTGGGTGTGGCCTTTTCCACAGGTAACGCCACCTGTCCAGGACATGCTGTTCTCTTGTTCTACACTGGTGGAGTTAAAGTGTTTAAACTAGGGCGTGGTTGCTTAAGGCAATGCCCCAGCGCATCACGAAACGGAAGGTGCCTGTCTCCCCCTCTTTGGCCTTATAGACGAGTACGAGAGAGGAGGGTACAGGGTAATGAGGCTTGTAGAAGAGTCGTTTCTTGCGGGAGAGGTCTACGGTTTTTTTGGGGGGGTGTCTAGGAAAGTCTAAGTGTGTAAACCACACAAAGGTGAGTAGGCTTTGCAGTAGGCACACAGACACAGCCCTTCAGGTGGGAGAAGCAGCGTGATTCTAAAATGGAGCACTTTCTGTTCTCCTGCCTGCAGCCTTTTGTCAGTCCCTTGTAAATCAGTCTTCCATTACAACGCTGCTTTCTCGTTCTGTAGCTAACAATGTTCCCTGCTTCCCTAGGACGACCTAATGATAAGTATCTTTAGTTTAACTCTACCATACCACTCTAGGTGGACTTATATTCCCACTGTTTCCTTTGTGTGAACCTTGAAAGCAACAGTTTCTCAGCCATGGCTATATAGCCGCCTTACCCAGGGAATTTTAATTTTCTTTCTTTCTTTTTTTTAATGTAGACATTATCTTAGGCCAATTAAAATAGGTACCCTTGGGAATGGAAGTCAGTGTAGCCATGACTAGGAACCATGGCTTCAAAGCAACAGGGTTTGCCTTAGGGTCACAGAGGAGATAAGAACAAACAGCAAACAGGAATTCTTAGAGGGTCTGTTTTCAGCTTTCCATACGGCAGACAGGAATTCTTAGAGGGTCTGTTTTCAGCTTTCCATACCTTTAGAATGTTCCCAGCTGACTCTGTTGTCTTGCCTCTGCCAGCCCCTTAAGGCCGGCTTGAAGAGGTTTTGAATTTGAACCTAATAGAATTTTTAGGTAGGAGCCCAAGGATTTTTGTGTGTTTGTTTGAAACAATGTTTTAACATACTGGAAACTGTACTAGTTATTATTAGTTATATCCTAGAGTACATTTTTTCTTCCTTTTTTAAAAATAGGTTTTTGTTTGTTTGCTTGCTTTTGCTTTTTGTTTTTTTGTTTTTTGTTTTTTGTTTTTTTTTTTTTGTTGTTGTTTTTTTTTGAGAAAGGCTTTCCTTGTGTAGCCCTGGCTGTTCTGGGCACTGTACACCAGGCTGGCCTCGAATTCAGAGATCCTCTGGCCTCTGCCTCCAGAGTGCTGGGATTAAAGGTGTGCGACACCACACCTAGAAGCAATTTAATAGATATTCAAAGTCATCTATAGTAGAAATGTGGAGAGTGTAGGGCTGGAGATATGGTTGACAGCCGAGAGCACTGGCTGCTCTTCCAGAGGACCAATTACCATCCCCCAGTACCCGAGTTCACACTGTCTAGAACTCCAGGGCCAGGAGATACAAGGCCCTCTTCTGCCCTCTTTGGGCACTGCATGCATGGGCTACACAGCCATCCACCCAGGCAAAACACCCATGCACACAAAATAATATGGAGCATTTTAACAATATGGAGCATAGGAAATGTCTGTAAGAACTCCCTGATGCCTGGTCATGTGATCTAACTTGATGATGTTTGACTAAAGCTTGTGTCCTTGTGGATTTAAAGTCCTGGCTGAAGATTTTCTTTCCACATGTTTTTCAGGGTCTACAGTTTTTAACATCTTCAGGGGCATTTTGGAGGTGGTAATTGGCATGGCTACTGGATCTTTCCTCGGTTTCTTTATTCAGTATTTTCCAAGCAGTGACCAGGTAAGAGAAACAATCTGAGAAAATCGTGCTGTCAATGGAAGAAACTTCTAGAACACCTTCCTAAAAACTGGATGTGCAGAACATAGTTGAGGAAATGGTCCCTTTTTTAAAGTTGCTGATTGACCTATTGGTGCTGTGCATGAGACTGAGGACAGCTTCACACATGACGTCCTAATGCTGTTCTGGAACTTCCTATATATAGTTATGTACATTTATTTAATCAATATAACTATATAACATATTTATCTATAATACATAATATATGATTTATATTGTGTACATTTAAATTTTCATTGTGAAACAATATTACAAAATAATAGGATGTGTATTTTTTCAGGAGATGTGTAATATTCAACTAAATCAAGACTTACAGTGGATTTTTACACCCAGTTTAGTATCAAAATACCTTAAATTCTAATACTATCAAACAGATAAGACTTCCAGCATCTCATTGTAACATAGTAAAATATGTCTCTTCAAGATAAACTTTCTTAGTGAGAAGCAAAAGCTTATTTCTCTTCACTCTCCTAATTCTTCTAACATTAGAAAAGCACATGGAAATTCTATCTTTGTAAAATTTACATTATTTTGATATTCCAGAACATTAATAATGGCATTGGAAATTTAGCTAAAGTGAGTGTTGTATTCAGAACATTCTTGTTTCCATCTATATCCTAGGTATAGAATAAGCAATTGTTAAAAATTAGTTGTTTGAAACAATCGGCCTGATCAGTGTTTTTCTCCTCCAGGTAAACCTTGAGTGGAAGCGAGCCTTCCTGGTCCTGGGCTTCGGTGTGTTGGCTGTGTTCAGCAGTGTTTATTTTGGCTTCCCGGGGTCAGGAGGACTGTGCACATTGGTCATGGCTTTCCTTGCAGGCATGAGATGGAATGACAAGAAGGTGAACTTCATTGTAATTTCATCTGCTCATGACTCTTTGATAAAAGCCTTTCTTTTCAGCTTTCTTAATGTTATGTTAACAAACCTTTTCATCATAAGCACCATTTTCTGTACATATACAAATGTACACCCACTGTTCATATGCATATGCCTTTTGTCCATACATACTAATCAATCTATGACTTAATGTCTTTACTTAAAATATACTACAGTCATATGATCATGATCCATCTGTATTCCTTTATAAATGTAGTGCATTGTACTAGATGGCTGGACCACATTTAATGTGACCCCTTCCTTCCACCCTTCCATCCATCCTTCCTTCCTTTCCTCCTTCCCTCCCTCCTTCCTTCCTTCCTTTTTTGGTTTTTCTGTGTTGCTGGTTTCCTGGCTGTCCTGGAACTCACTCTGTAGACCAGGTTGGCCTTGAACTCAGGCATCTGCCTGCCTCCCAAGTGCTGGGATTTAAAGCATGTACCACCACCAACCCAGTGTGACTAGTCTCTCTCCAAATCATGCTATGTTGTATTTCTGTGTCACAGTAGTCATTATTTCAATAAATGAACCCTTACATGTACCGTATTTCTTAGATGCTTAGACATTAACAATTCTAAAAGCCACTCTGCATGCTTCTAAGGAAAACATTGACAAACTATGTGTGTGTTTAAGGTTCTCCTTAGAGAACATCTCTAAAAATAGAATGGCTTTAGGGAAGAGAATGCTTGCCTATACATTTGGTCATATTAACTTGCTCACATATACACTTGGTGGTATTAACTTGCCCTTTTAATAGATTGAGCCAGTTTTCATTTCTAGTAACACTTTGTGGAGAAGCAGTTTCTGTCTTGGGGTATTTTATTAACCTGATAGGTGAAACGTGTGTCCTGTACTGATCTAATTTGTTTCTCCATGCATGAATCAGTCACCATTTCATAGGACAACGAAGCGATGCAAAACAGCCTTATCTGAGCTATATTTGCATACTTTCCTTAACTATAACACCAGGCAATCTAAAATTACTAGTCTGTATTTTATTTATTTATTTATTTGGATGCAGAGAAGCATATCATATTCTGGTCTCAAATATACTGTGTAATTAAGGCTGGTCTTGAACTTTTGATCTTCCTGTCTCACAGAGCTAAGAGTTCATCTGTTTGACTTGATTGTCTACATTTGGCTAGGTTGGCTGCCTGGCTATGGAGCTCCTGGGATCCATCAATGCCTCTGATTTATTACTTACAGATCTCAAATTTCTATCCCAAATCAAATAATTCAATTTTTTGGCAAATTAACTCTACATAATAGAGTTTTCTTTGCTTTTCTTTTAGTCAGAGGTAGAAAAGATAATTGCAGTCGCCTGGGACATTTTCCAGCCCCTTCTGTTTGGCCTGATTGGAGCAGAGGTATCTATTACGTCTCTCAGACCAGACACGGTTGGTAAGAATTTCTCACTGGTTCTGGTGCTAAAACTATATCTTTAAATCCTGATTTGGAATATCTCAGTGAGTATTTGTTTACCATTGTCACAATTATGTAAAGAATCAGTTGTGATCTAAGTATTTAGAGAAGTTGGCTAGAGAATAATGCTTGTAATTTTGAGTGAAAAAAAAATCACGCCTACTGCCTCCAACATAAAGATGTTCACCTAGCCCAGTCCTGACCAAGAGCTAGAATTTTAAAGATACTAGTTAATTCTGCAGTGTGTTCTCGTGGGTTGGAAGCGCTTGCTATTCATTCTTTATTCAGCCTTCAGACAGCATCATAGTAAGATCATCTTGATTAACAGCACCGCACTGGCAATTATCTAATTCGTAAATATCATTCCCTCTCCTTACACCCCAATATTCTTCCACCCATACCAGGAATCCTATTCCTTGCTGCTCCCTACTGAGTTGTAAATATTTCCCTTTATTCTTCTTCATCCTTAAAAAATGTGTGTGTGTGTGTGTGCGGAGAGATGTAGCGCTGAGTGTCTGAGTGTGAGCACGGGCACACGCACGAGCAAGGCGCACGTGTCAAAGTTCAGGAAGCAGGGCTCACTTTCCACTGTGTCGGAGCAGGGTCTTTCATGCTGCTGCTGCTGTGCTGCACGTCCCAGGCAAGCTGGCCTGAAAGCTTCTGGGCCGAAAGCATCTCTGCCTCCCATCCTCCCTGAGGAGTGCTGGCGTTACAGATGCATGCCATGGTATCTGGCTTTTTGACCGAGTTTCAAGGATTGAACTTGGGGCCTCAGCCCTGAGGGCCTTGTGCTTTTACACCATTTCGCTGGCCCCCTTTATATCTGTTAATATGCCATCTACAATTTCCTTCTCTTTAGAAGTTTCAAATGTCACGTTACTGAAAATGATATCCTTTCTTTCTGATGAATAGCAGACATGGGTGAAAACTAATGACATGCTGAGTGAAATAAGACAATCACAAAAATGCCATTCCCCTAATATGAGCAATATGTAACTAGACACCAGGCATATTCATAATGGAATAAAGTAAAACTATGGTTTCCAGGACTGGGGGCTAAGGAAAATAGGAAGTCGGTGTTTAATGGGTATACAATTTAAATTTTGCAAATGAAAATGTTCTGGAGTTTGGTCACGCAATAGTATGGATATACTTAACCCTATTAAAAGTGCTAAAGATGGAGAATCACCAAGATGGTACAGCGGTTAAAGGTGATTGCTAGCTACACAAGCCAGGATGCCTGAGTTTGAACCCAAGAATCTACATAGAAGTAGAAGGAGAGAACCAACTCTACAAGATTGTCCTCTGCATGTCTGACCTCTAAATTCACATTGTGGCACACAGACAGACAGATGATGTGTTTTTAAATTGACAAATGTGATACATGTTATTAATATTATTAAAATGAAAATATACTGGAAAGTATAGATAGATGATAGATAGATAGATACATACATACATACATACATAGATGGATAGATAATTTCTCCATTTCACTAACCCTCTCACCTGCCACATTGCCTCCCCTTCCCATCAATTCCCTTTCTCAGTGCCTATCCACCGAGCTTCTACTCCACCACACAGTCAATGGTGCTCATTGAGATTACCTAGCTAAACCCAGTCTTTGAATTGAACGCTCATCCACATTCGTTGTTTTTGTCAACATTCCTCCACTGAATTCTGCTGTTTTCCACAGCCCTGTGAGTCCCCATTTACACTCTACATAGCTTAAATACTGGCTTTAATCTATTTTTTTTCCAACACCCGCCAATGCTGTGCCTCTCACCAAGATCTCGGCTTTAACCCTATACACACCACTGACGTCAACTGTAACCAGTCCAAATCAACTTGTTCATATCTTGTGCTTCAAGCAGCAGATGCTTTTGAAAATCTACTAATCATGGAACTGCTGTCTGACAGAGAATCATTGCTCCTTCCATCAAGGCCCATAGTGCAGACTTGCAGAACAGCTTCTTATATGTGTACACTCTGGTCTTGAGAAAGGAATTTCTCCTTCCTGGGCTGCTGTCTCCAGCAGTCTGGTTGGATCCTTCCTTCTATACTAGTTGATAAGTATCTTGAATAATATGTCCAGTCTTTTACTCTGTGAAGAGCTCACAGCTACTTTAATGAAAAGACTGTTTTTCACATATCTATGCCTGCTTACTGGCTTATTTGTACTTGACTTAACCATACCAAATGTATAAAGATTTCCGTTCCTGACTTCTTCAATCTTTGAGGCTGATCAGGCTATAGAGTATATATGTTGTCTACCCACCACCTTGCTTAAAGCTTGGCATGCATTATATCATCAATCTTTATATTACTTTATTTTATGTGTTTTGCCTACATGGATCCATGTGCGCCACATGTGTGCCTGGTATCTGAAGAGTTCAGAAGAAAGTACTGGATACCCTAGAGTTACAGAAAGTTGTAAGCCATCATGTGTAGGCTGGGAACTGAACCTGGGCTCTGCAAGAGCAACAACTGCTCTTAACCACTAAGCTGTCTCTCCAGACTCATCTTATATCATTTAATATAGTCATATTAAAGCGCTGGTCCTCAACCCTCCCGATGCTGTGACCCTTCAATGCAGTTCCACATGCTGTGGTGACCTCAACCATAAAATTAATTTCATTGCTACTTCATAACTGTAATTTTGCTACTGTTCTGAATTGTAATGTAAATACCTGATATGTAGGATATCTGATATTTGGCCCCTGTGAAAGGATCATTCGACCCCCAAAGGAGTGACAACATAAATGTTGAGAACCACTGTGTTAAATAAACACATGGAAGAAAATGTAGATCTTGCTATAAAGTATAAGATATTGTTTCCACCTCAGTATATAATGTACTGACAGTGGCTTCATAGATCTCAAAATATGAGGAAGGCAGAAGCATCATCTAATTTAAATTTCCTTTGTAAGAATTCAAATATTTGATTAAATCCTGGCTTTATAAAGGAAAATTTTTAAACAATGTTATGATTGATCTTACTGATTTCTTGATCAATTTTATGCAACTATTTTTATATTTAATGTTTTAACATTATTCCTATGAATAGTATTTGAAATATAATTTTTCCCAACATCTCATTTTTTTTCTAAAACCTGAGTATTTTTTTCAGGTCTTTGTGTTGCAACCCTCGGCATTGCTGTACTGATACGAATTTTGACTACTTTCCTGATGGTGTGTTTTGCTGGTTTTAACATAAAAGAAAAGATCTTTATTTCTTTTGCCTGGCTTCCAAAGGCCACAGTCCAGGTAAGTAATGATTGTAGAAAGGCCTATCATCTTAACTGTTACTTCTGTATGACAACCTTAAAATATTGAGTAAGAAGACTTGTTGTCTAAGTTAGTGGAAGTAAACAGTTGATAAATGATAGAAATAAATGAGTGAATAATCGTTGAAAAGTTGGGTTTGTGAAGATTTTACACTAATCTTCTCCAAAAGTTTCATTTGTGATGACCCATTTAAATTTCTTTGGGTCACCAGGGTGAAGGTTAAAAGTCCAAAACCTCCAGTCATGGCCATAGAGGAGAATTTGAGTTTTTATCATGTAAAGCACTAAGTCACCTAAAAGGAACTATTTTAACTCATCTCAAAACTCTCAAGAAGACTTTCTCCTCCCTGCCCCCATTCTTCCAATTTGTTCAGTGGCTCTTGTTCCTTTCTGCTTCACTGGGGAACCATGTGAATCTATCTCTCTTAGGGTTCTCCTTGTTTCTTAGCTTCTCTGGCAGTGTGGATTGTAGGCTGGTAATCCTTTTCTCTATGTCTAATATCCATATGTGAGTGAGTACATACCATGTTTGTCTTTCTGTGACTGCGTTACTTCACTTAGGATGGTTTCTTCTAGTGCCATCTATTTGCCTGTGAATTTCAAGACTCCATTGGTTTTTTTTCCACTGAGTAATATTCCATTGTGTAAATGTACCACATTTTCTGTATTCATTCTTCAGTTGAGGAGCATCTAGGTTACTTCCAGGTTCTGGCTATTACAAATAATGCTGCTATGAATATAGTTGAACTGATATCCTTGTTGTATGAATGATGTGTATCCTTTGGGTATATGCCTAAGAGTGGAAATTACTGGATCTTGAGGTAGACTGGTTCCCAATTTCTGGAGAAACCACCATACTGATTTCAAAGTGGCTGTACAAGTTTGCACTCCCACTAGCAGTGGAGGGGTGTTCCCCTTTCTCCATATCCTCTCCAGCATAAACTGTAATTGATGTGTTTGATTTTAGCCATTCTGACGGGTGTAAGATGATATCTCAGAGTTGTTTTGATTTGCATTTTCCTGATGGCTAAGGATATTGAGCAATGTCTTAAGTGACTTTCAGCCATTTTAGGTTCCTCTATTGAGAATTCTCTATTTAGTTCTGTATCCACTAGAGGAGGGAGAGGAGAACTGGAGGGATCAGGAAGATTGAGTGGAGAGTGGAATACAGGAGATCAAGAAAGGAAACACATCAATAGAGGGAGTCACTATGGGTTTAAAGAGAAATCTGGCATTAGGGCATTGTATAGAGATCCACAAGGATGACCCCAACTAGGAACTTAAGCAATAGTGGAGAGGCCACCTTAAATGCCCATCCCCTATAATGATATTGATGACTACCTTAAACACCATCCTAGAGCCTTCATCCAGTAGCTGATGGAAGCAGAAGCAGAGATCCACAGCTAAGCACTGAAATCCTGGAATCCAGTTTCAGAGAGGGAGGAGTGACTAACAAAGGGGTCAAGACCATGCTGGGAAAACCCTCAGGAACAGCTGACCTGAGCAAGTGGAAACTCATGGACCCCAGTGTGACAGCTGGGGAACCAACATAGAACCAAACCACGCCCCCTGAACGTGGGTGTCAGCTAGGAGGACTGGGCAGTCAGTGGGGCCTCTGGCAGTGGAACCAGGACGTATCACTAGTGCATGAACGGACTTGGGAGCCATTTTCCATGGAGAGATACTCTCTTAGCCTAGATACACAGGGCCCTGTCCCAAATGACGTCACAGATTTTGATGATCCCTTATGGAAGGCCTCACCCTCTCTGGGGAGTGGATGAGGGATGGGAAGGGGGGATCAGAGGGGGACATGAGAGGATTGGAGGGAGAGGGAACTGGGATTGATACGTAAAATAAGATTGTTTCTCATTTAAATAAAAATAAAATTTATATAAAAAAGAAATAATACAGAAAAAACTTTCAAGAAGAAAAGGAGAGAGGGAGTGATGGAAGGAGGGAGGGAGGGAGGGAGGGAGGGAGGGAGGGAGGGAGGGAGGGAGGGAGGGAGGCAGGCAGGCAGGCAGGCAGGCAGGCAGGCAGGCAGGCAGGCAAGCAGGCAGGCAAGTAGGAAGGAGGGAGTGAACATGGCTCATCTTAATGCTTGGAAATCTTTCAGTAGCCATATGATTGATGATAAATTATGCTTGTCCAGATCTTTATACATAATGAAAGAAAGAGTAATTGAAAAGGAATTAAGATATTTTTGTTTTGTTTTTCTGAGGCAGGGTTTCCCTGAAACTCTCCCTGAAGACCAGACTGGCCTTGAATTCAGAGAAGTTGTCTGCTTCTGCTTCCTGAATACTGGGATTAAAGGGGTACACCATTTTGACCAGCCTGAAAAGGAATTTAGAAATGCTTTACAGTGGTTATCCTTCATCCATGGTTTCACTCTTTGTGGATTCTTTCACCCAGGGTCTTTGTGGGTTCTGGTAGCCATGGCCTAAAATATTAAATGGGAAAATGACAGACATGCACATTTAAGTTTTAAATGCAGGCCATTTTGAGCGTCACAGTGAAATGTTGCACTGGCTTGGCCCATCTCACTTTGACTACCATGGGATACGAGTGTGCCTTTGTCCACCATGTCTACCTTGTAGACACTGCTAATCACTTCATAGCTGTCTTAGCTATCAAATTGACTGTTGGAGTATCCTAGTGCTGTGCTCCAGTGATCCTTATTTTACTTACTAATAGTGCCAAAGGGTAAGTTGTGAGTATAACAATTTGCACATACCAAAGAGAAGTCATGGGGTTCCTTCCTTAAGGCTAACAGGTAAAAGTTCTTAATAAGGTAACAACAAAATGTCAAAATTTTGATGCTATCCATGTTTTCATTGATCTGCTGATGGACCTTGTAAATATTGTTCATGGTTAGAAGGATGTAGCCCAAATTCTAACTGTTCTTAATAATAAAAACTCGGAGTCAAGTATCAGGGAGCAGAGCCACCAGTCACTAGAGTTCTTACTTCTACCAATGCTCAGACCAAAGGGGTGATCCTGTCCTCAGTCTGCATTCTCAGACTTATAAAAGCTTATTGTCTGCATGTACCTTAAGCATATCTCCTATACTCTTTCAATCATCTCTTAATTATTTGTCATAGCTAATACAATGTTAGTAGTTCTTGTATTATTTAGAAAATAAGGATGAGGAAAAAGTCTGCATATGTTCATACAGATGCAAATTTCTGAGCTGCGGTTAGTTGGATTTACAGATAGAGAATAGTTGTAGAATGAGTATGTTATCATGTATGGAATTTTAGTCTTTTTTCTATTATCACTACATAAAAAACAAGGAAGCTATGTGTATGTGTATGTATACAAATATATATAAATATATGCAAAAATATATGTACTTCTTAATACTTTATGATCTGTCATAAGATACATGTATATATATTTAAAGGTTTTTAAAAATGCCATATTTTTATATCACAGTTTGGCATGCACACATGACCTAAAATATACATATACATATATACAAAACAGAACTTGAAGAAAAATGTATATTGCAATGCAACAAGTTGCCAAAATTCATAAAATATTCAATTATTTATTACACAGGGTAAGCCATAATAACAAAGAGTCTAACAAGTAATGAAGGAACTGAATGAGCTAGACTTTCTTTTTGTAATTTCCAGAAGTCTAGGATAGACATTTCAGAGCTGATAGGGTGGCTATCACTCTCAACATGTGCCTCTTGCCCAGAGGTTCAACCTGTGTTGCCATTTTTTTTCCAGTGGGAAGAGGGAGGATACAGGTATTCTTTCTGTTTTGGATAATGATCCATGTCAGTGTTTCATCTCCACCAATTACTCAATGGACAGAATATAGATATATAGTTACCCTAGTTACTAAAGACACTAGAAACATGAAATCTGTTTTATCAACAATGTGACCAGCTGAAACCCAGGAGCTCTGGGATAGAAGATTGAAGGTGCATCTAGATCTGTCATTATGTGACCGATACACATTTTCTCTTTTGTTCTATTATGTTAGAAGCAATCATTGCTCTTCACTTGGGATAAGGAATTAACCAGATGGGTTAATGTGCCTTTCCCTTTGTGAACTAATAACACTGTATTTTGCCTCTAAGAGAAAATAAGAATTTTCAAATACATTTCAATAGATAAATATTAAATAAAACATTTCACCAACTCTTGGGGAAAAGATTCACCAAATAACTAATAAATTTAATATCAATTTGAAGGTCTCTACCACTCTCATGTTTCATACTGTTTGAGAATTAGTGTATGCTCCAGAGAAAACATGCTGACTTAAAATATCACCTACTTCTAATAAATATAACCACCCCTTTAAGCTTTTTATTAAAGTGATGAGAACAGGCACCAGACTTGATCTTAACCAAAAGACCAAGTCAGTGTTTTCTTTATTAATACAAATTCTTAGTTAAAATATAAAACAAACAGTAACTTCCATCTTTTGTAAGAGGAATTTGTCATGTACAGCAATATTTGACTAATACTGTGGGTCTGTTTTCCCCCAATATTTTGAAATATACAGACCTACTAGTACACAATCCGTGTGTACCTATCACATAAGAAGGTGTTACTCTAGCAGGGCATTGGTGGCGCACGCCTTTAATCCCAGCACTCGGGAGGCAGAGGCAGGCGGATCTCTGTGAGTTCGAGACCAGCCTGGACTACCAAGCGAGTTCCAGGACAGCCTCCAAAGCCACAGAGAAACCCTGTCTCGAAAAACCAAAAAAAAAAAAAAAAAAAAAAAAAGAAGGTGTTACTCTCCTTGTAAGGGCAGGGAGACTTTGTTGATAAAACAACTTCAGTACAGTTTGAAAGAAGACTTGTTTGGATTAATTGAGCAAAAGGAAAAGCTTGTCTGACATTTCCAACCTTGTGTTAAAACTTTCCTAGGCTGCTATCGGGTCTGTGGCTCTGGACACGGCGCGATCCCATGGAGAGAAGCAGTTAGAAGAGTATGGGATGGATGTGTTGACCGTGGCATTTTTGGCCATCCTCATCACAGCACCAATCGGAAGCCTACTGATTGGCTTGCTGGGTCCCAGACTTCTTCAGAAATTTGAGCATCAAAATGAAGAGGAAGTTCAAAGAGAGACTTCTGCACATGTTCAGAGGTAAGGAAAGGAAAATGCTGAGTGCTGTTCCCAGAAGCTAACTGTATCAGACGGAAATGGAAATATATGGTGTTGAGGTTCTAAATGTATTAGGACCAAACTGTGCAGCGAAGAAACAAAGGAGAGACTAAAATCCATACTCCTACTGTTCCCCGGACCTTGGTCTCAGTTGCTGTTGGCTGTCAATTGCATGGTTGGTGGTCACCAGTCTCATGCCATGAATCGATTTTGGTTCCTCTTCCTTGCTTATTTTTCTTACACCAAACTTCAGTCATTCAACAGTTTCCATCCCTACTGCCCTGCCGCTCTCCTCTGTTCCTAGCCTGTTTGCCTTGCTGCATTTCTGTGAAGTGTGGTCTTGCTGACATTTTAAAGTAAATGAAGAACCTTCATTGACATTTGACTCTTAGCCCTTCAGATGTCAAAAGACAAGATGGACAGATGGGGTGGGGGGGGAGAATGACAGGGAGAGAGGGAGGAAGGAAAGAGGGAGAATGGGAAGGCAGGAGGGAGATCTAGGATGAAGGGAGGAAGGTCACATATAGTAGCTCACATCTGGAATCCCAGCACTCTAGAAACTCAGGAAGATTTCTGTGGGTTCATGAACCACGTGAGCTACATTCTGAGTTCTAGGCCAGCCAGGGATAGTCTCAAAAACAAACACAAACACAAAGCAGAAATCTTCATCACCTAGCTGCCTACCCAGCTGTCAATTGCTCAATTTAGTCTTCCTTCCTCGATAAAGGTGTCTTGATGCAATCTCTTTTGTTTGTTGTGACTGGCATCTCCTGGCTCCTTTAGGTCTCTAGTAGACAGCATTAATTTTCAATTGTTTGCTGGCCCCATGTATGTGATAATTGGGGAACTACACACAGATTTAATGAGGAAAAGTTAAAGTACTTAACAGAAAACAGAATTTTACTTCTCTCCCTCTTGAAACTGGCTGTTTGATTAATGCTGGCATGGGCTCTCTGCTCACGGGACTTCTCTAAGCCTTGTCTCTAGCTGCCATGAGGCTCAGCCATACCGTAGTTCAGGACAGAGGCTAAAGATAAATCTGCACCACTTGTCCTTCCAAGGCCCCAGGAAGCAGAAAAAAAAGATGAAACTGTGTTATTTATATTCTTTTGAGACAAGGGCTCAGTGTATAGTCCAAGCTGGCCTGGAATTTGTGGTCATCCTGGGGCTCTGAAGTGCTGGGACTATGGGTGTGCTCTGTCATATACATCCTAAATCAGTTTATTTCTAGGGAATTGATGTGTATTTGGACATAGCTTTCCTCTCCCTTGATTGATGAGTCTATCAACTACAATGACATGGGAAAGAGTCTCTGGCTTGCCTATTGGTAAGTCTACAAGGAGCAAAAGACTTGAAGGTCAGAGATGTCATTACATTGAGTGCTACCACCACTTAACATAGTATCTTACTAGACATGGTGACTTATTTCTATAACCCCAGCTCTTAGGAGATTGAGTCAGGAGGCTTGCCCTCAAGTTTAACGCCAGCTTAGGCTACAGAATAAGTTCTAGGCCAGCCTGGCTACACATAGAGAACATATCTCAAAAAAGCTTATATGGACTAGGGAGATAGCCCCATCACTAAAGTGTTTGCTTTGCAAGTATGGAGACATCAACACCAATAGAAACACCTCAACACTGGTTAAAAAAAATCTGGGTGTAGCAGTGTAGGCCTTTAACTCCAGTGCTGGTGGGAGGTGGGAGTTGGAGGATGGGCAGAGATAAGTGAATCCCAGAGACAACCAGACTAACCAATCAGTGAGCACCAGGTTTAATGAGTGCCTCTGTCTTGAAAACTCAGTAGGGAGTGATACAGCAAAATGCTCAACATTGACCTCCAATCTCCACACAACCATGCAGAGCACACATACAAATACACATACACACACAGAGAGACACACACACATGTACAGACACACATATACACACAGCAAAACCTTTACAAGAGCCCTTGGAAAATGATACCTTGTCTCCCAAGAAGTTATAACATTATAACACACCAGAAGAGAAGGAATGAAGGGAAAGTCCTACTTGCATAGACCACGATTTATCCCACATTCCAACACCCATTGTATATCACCAACCAGTTCCTCATCATTCTAGGTCACCTGTTGCTTAGTGAGTAACCATGTTCAAGTACAGTTTTAGGTTTTGTGGTATTGTACACATACCTCAGGTGTTTCTTTCTTACCTTTCATACCCAAGGTAATTTTTTTCACCTAGAATTCAAGGTGTATTTTAATCTTGCAGTATATTTGACATAGGTGAATTGTGGCTGTTCTAACCCCATCCTGTGAACTGTAAAGGGGGGCCATGCATGGTAGCTCACATCTGTAATCCCAGCACCGTCTGATCTTCTCTTATAGACTACTGTTGTAGCCTGTTCTCCTGTGACATTAGATTCAATATTATGGTTCTAACTGGTTCATTTAGATGACAAAAAATATTTTGTGGCGTAGTGTTTTGTATTTTCTGAGTGCTGTGCTCACAGTATAGACTAGATTTATACCAAAGGTTGGGTATGTGGTAAAGGGTGAAGCAAACATCATAGGTCAGGTGCACTTTGATGGTCACCATAAATCTAATACCCATCTGTTTATCTGCTTTTTCAGACTCTGAAACTACATCTGGTCAACAAATAGAGTTATTTCTGGATATCAGTAGGAGATTAGCTCCAGAGCCCCCTCAGATACTAAGATCAATGGATGCTAAAGTTCTTTATATAGAATACTGCATTGACTTATAACATGTACATGTTCTCCTATGTGCAACTGTTATTTATATTTTAATAGATTTCCTGTATAATTAACTATTTATTTGTGTGGGGGAAATAAACATGACAGCTAATTGTAAAGGTCAGAAGAGACTCTCTCTGCCCACCAAGTGGAGTCTGGGGATGGAATTCAGGCCACCAGGCTTGGTGGCAAGCACCTTTACCCAATGAAACAACTTGCAAGCCCAATATCACATTTTTTAACACACATGGTGGACTAACTCGTGTCAAGCCTGGCTCTCAGGGTTTGTGAGAATTCCAAAACTCCGCTTTTTGATGAGCCCTTCATCTTCCCTACATAGACCTAAAGCATTTACATCTCTAAGAGTCCATCCCTTCTAGAGCACAGAACAGCGCTCTGCAAAAGGTCAATCTTCCCAGCTCTTCCCCAAGGTCATCTTGTTCTTCCTTCAGGAACTACCAGTTAAAGAAGAACAAAGATTTGCTTGACACCATTTCAACAACCTTATGTAATCCTTTTTTAAAAGTTCTCTTATTAAGCCAGGTGATGATGGTTCATGCCTTTAATCCCAGCACTTGGGAGGCAGAGACAGGTGAATCTCTGTGAGTTTGAGGCCAGCATGATCTACAGACAGAACTCAGGGACAGGCTCCAAAGCTACAGAGAAAGCCCATCTCAAAAAACCAGAAAAAAGAAATTCTTTTATTGCATTTATTTGGGGGGGGGGGTTGGATGTGCGCGTGCACTCATGAAGGATAGAATTCAAGTTGGTAGTTTTCGTGACGAGTACCTTTAACTGTTGAGCTCTAATTTTTTAAAACAAGGGAGAAAACAACTTCCAATCATTACACACATATCCAAATCATGCTGAAGGTGGAAAGGCATTATAATAAACAAGAAAAGCTCTCATTGTCACTGAAAAAAATGGTTGCAATTTGAATTAGAACTTATGTTGGTCGGCTTTTCATAGATGTTACCACCTACCTGAAAAACAAATCAACTTACAAAGAAGACATTTTAACTTACAGTTTTAAAGGTTTCAGCCCACAGCAGTTAACTCTATTGTTGTTGAGCCTGGGGTAGAGGAACGCAGGTGGCATGGAGCGTGGATAGCGAAGCTGCTCTCCTCACTCCACGAAAAGAGAGAAGAATGAACCTGGGTTCCCAGACCCCTTCAAAGACTCATCCCCAGGGAGCTAACATCTCCCTCCAGGACCCACTTCTTATAGCTTCCCATCTCGAAGCAGAGCTACAGGCTAGGGATCTGCCCTTTAGTAAATGGGTCTTTGGGGGGACATTTTAAATCCAAGCCATAACAGATTTTTATGATGAATTTAAAAAGAGACGGGGCCAGTATGGCGGTTTAAAAGAAAATGGCCCCCAAAGGAAGTGGCACTACTAGGAGGTGTGGTTTTGTTGGAGTGGGTGTGGCCTTGTTAGAGGAAGTGTGCCATGGTGGGGGTGGGCTTTGAGCTCCCCCTTGCTCAAGCTATGCGCAGTGCTACACACACAGCTGCTTCTGCTGCCTGAGGATCAAGACGTAGGACTCTCAGCTCCTACCCCTGTACCATGTCTACCTGCATGCCACCATGCACACACAATAAATAATAAATAAATTGATAAATAAGTTAAGCTGTTTCGTGTTGGGAAAAAGATAGAAAATGCAGTTTTCCATCTACGAGGTTTGGTCGTTTTCCAGTAATAGTTGCTTTCATCTATTTTAGGAAGCCTGGGGATTCCATTACAGAAGCTTGATGGTTCAAGTTTACCATCCCAACCGAAAGGTTTTGGCTCCCCTTCAACCAGGGCAACTCTACTTCTCGTTGCTTCAGATGAAAAGTTTCTCATGAGATTTCATATGATACACTTCTTATAATATTAAAAACTTTTCATATCAAAAAGCAATGACTTTTTTAATTAGAACTTTATTGTACTTTTATGAACATCCAAAGCAGAATTTTTTTTCTGTTTTTAAATCTATGTGGAATGACAGTAAAAGTAAAAGTGTCTAAGGGAACAATGGGGACTTATGGGAGGGGGAGGGGGAAATTAATAGGGTATGGAGCACACACACATATATGAAATTTTTTTAAATTAAAAAGTTGAGGGGCTGGAGAGATGGATCAGCGGTTATGAACACTGACCGTTCTTCCAAAGGTCCTGAGTTCAATTCCCGGCAACCACATGGTGGCTCACAACCACCTTGAATGAGATCTGGTGCCCTCTGCTGGCATGCAGGCAGAAGGGTGTATACACAATAATAAATAAATAAAATATTTTTTTAAAAAGTTGAAAAATCCTTGAACTGTAAAAAAAAAAAACCACAGAGAACATGAAAAGGATGAGAAAAGTAGGAGACAATGGGATCTAAAATCAGAAACACACTGTTTCTTAGGTGAGAACAAAACATGGCTATGGAAAGTTTCCCAATTTAAATTTTCAACTCAGTATAATTCAAACCAGACACTAAGGGATATTTTCTCCGGTAGAACAAGAACAGTTAATAGAATCTACCTAAATTACAGGTGCTGAACAATTCCTACCATATTTCCCTAGGCTTTTCAGTTTGTTCAAAATTCCTGAAGGCTATCGCTATTTCCATGCATACATCTTTGCCCGGTGTGATGTGTCTGGGACATGGAGTTCTCATTCTACTTCATTGTAATCAGTTTCCCCCAGTGCCGATTGCTCTGAGACAGGACATATTTGGACAGATGTTACATGACTATTTTTTTCCTCATTACATCATGGTCAAAAAGACTTGTACAATTTCTTTAAACTTTTAGCACATAATGAAGTTTTCTTTTTGGTATCATAAATGGGGTTTTAAAGGTTTGTTTAAAATCTTAAAACATTTGTACAAGATCAATGGGAAGGAAAAAAATAACCTGCAGATGACTGGAGGTACTCAAAGGCAGCCATGTGATCTTAGAGAAAGGAGCAAAATCACCTCAGTGGAGAGAGGATAGTCCATCAACTATAGGTGATGGACACCTGGACACCCAGGAGTGACACAGCAGGCATGTAGTCCCCATTTCTCAGGAGGCTGAGGTACGGGATGGCAAACTTTCACCAGCCCAGGACCTGCCTGACCCACAAAACAGGAGCCCAAATTAAAAGACAAAATAAGTCATAGTTATAAATGTAAATAATAAAGATAACACAGGAGAAAACACACATCACCTTAGGTTAGGCAATGACTCCTAATACAAACCATAAAAGCACAGTCTATAGACTTAAACACAGATATATCAGACCCTATGACTGCTCAGAAGCTCTGCTCTCCGAAGACTCTGGCCTGGGCTGATGGTGGCTCAGCAGTTAAGAGCACTGGCTGCTCTTCAGGTGACCCAGTTTAGTTCTTGGCACCCACATAGTGTCTCACAATCATCCGTAACTCCAATCCCGGGTAGCTGGCACCCTCTTTTGACCGCTGCAGGTACCAGGCACACATGCAGTACACGGGCACCAGTGGTTCTCAACCTTACTAATGCTTCGACGCTTCAATACATTTCCTCGTGCTGTGTAACCCCAACCATAAAATTACCTTCATTGCTACTTTGTAACTGTAATTTTGGTGCTGTTATGGACCTTAATGTAAATATTCATTTTTTCTGATATTCTTAGGCAATCCCTCTGAAAGGGTTATTTGACCCCCAAGGGTTCACAAACCTCAAGCTGAGAACCACTGACACATACACATTTATTTTTTGCTGGGCAGTGGTGGTGCATGCATTTAATCCCAGAACTGCGGAGGCAGAGGCCCCCAGCTTGTTTGAAGGCAGAATGAGTTCCAGGATAGCCAGGGATGCACAGAGAAACAACAACGAAACAACAAAACAAAACAAAAAAAAGTTGTTGTTTGTTTTTTAAATAAAAAAGAACTCTGGCTAAAAGAATTTAAAAAAAAAACCTACAGATTGAGAGAGAACCCATATTTATCTGATAGGTTACTATTATCCTAAATGCACCAAAAAACCCACTTTCTCTGTAATGAGATAGTTTTTGAAATTTTTATTAAGTTTACAGAACTCTTAAAACTCCACAGGAAGGGAATCAAACAGTTTGATTTGAGAATGGGCAAAAAGGCCTGGGCAAGATGGTTCGCCAGGTCAAGATGTTTGCCACCAAGACTGACAGCCTAAATTCCATCCCCCGATCCCACACGATGGGCAGGAGAGAACCAGCTCTGCGTAGCTGTCCACTCGCCTGTGCAGACACACAAATCCATGTGCCCACCTTGATCTTCCCACAAAACAAATGAATAAATGATGTAATGAACCTGAGAAAAAAAGATGAGAATGGATTAGATCTCTCACTCTGAGAAGATACACACGTGACAGGTAAGATGGCCACATATCATGAGGGAGTTACAAACTAAATAAAAAGTATCATACACTTCTTGTTATGTTATTACGTTAGAAAGAGGAAAATCTAACTTGTAAGCAGTAAATTCTAGCAAAGATGTGGTCAACAGCCGATAGGAATGCAAAATAGTGTGGCCACTTTGAGAACAACTTGATGGTTTCTTAGTAAAATAGACATTTGTCATGGTATTTTTACTCAAAGGAATTAAAAATTGTATATATACAAAAACTTATTCATGTGTGTCTCTGGTATTCATAACTGCCAAAACTTAGAAACAATCAAAACATCTTCCCACAGATGAGTGGATAAACCTACAAACACTACTAACAAGAAACTGTTTAAAACAGCAAAACCAACCAAATAAATAAATGAAAATGAAAGAGGTGGGGCTGGGCGTGCAGCTTAGCTGGTAGAATGCTGGACAGCAAGTATGAGTACAAGCGCTGAGCCCAGCGTCACAGAGACCACATATGGCGGTCCAAACAAGCATGTGCAGCATCTTGTGACTCTTAGAGAGAGACATTTATTGTTCAAGATGCTAGCGTAAAATAAGACTGAAGAAAACAGCCTTAAAAAGTGTGTGGGCCGTAGGGGGGACTGGAGTTAATCTCAATTAGAGAACTCTCTTATTGATAAGTCTCTTCCAAAGCCCTCAGGAGTTGAAGGAAAGACGTGTTTATTAGAGCAAGGACTGGGCATTAGAAGCCTTGTAAAACGGGGAAGAGCAATGCCAACCATCGAGAGCCTTGTGCAGACATGGGGAAACACTAAAGGCCTGGGCAGAACTGAAAAGGCAACTGAAACTCAATTACACTTCAGTTCCTCTGCGTGTCCTCTGTAATAAGTTGCCATTTATCCAGCAGGTGTGTGGCAAGCACTGGGCTCCCATACTTACACCCCACTCCCCGACACATGCCCAGCAGAGCTGCTGTTTTATCCTCCTTTTCCTCAGAACACTGATAGCTTTGCCATTTTGTAGGTCTTGTTTACTCAGCTACGTGTTTTGAAAAAACTGTACTGGTGCTGGTTCTTATTGGTTTGAGTAAAGGTTTCACATAACCCAAGCTGGCCTTGAAGTTGCTAGGCAACCAGGGATGATCTTGCACTTGTGAGCATCCTTCAATATTGGGGTTACGGGCATGTACCACCACATGGGGCTTGATGAGATGCTGGAGACTGAAGCCAGGGCCTTCGGCATGTGAGACAAGAGTCAAGCTACTGAGCACCATACCCACTCCTGTTAGACTGGTTGTGGCTTCTTTTTTTCCTCCTCCTCCTCCTCCTCTTCCTCCTCCTTCTTTTCTGCTTCCTTCTGTCTCCCTCCCCCTCCTGCTGCTCTTCCTCTTCCCATTCCTCCTCATCTCCCCATGCTCTTTCTTCATCTCTAACCAGTATGACGGTTAGGAATCACTCAGCTCTAGGAAACACCCACAGCAAACAAACACAAAACACTGACAAGCAGGAATCAGAAGTTTCTGCACCTACAGAGTGCACAGGAGTCGCCCGAGGCTGCCTTGAAGGACCAGCTCCTTGTCTTGCTCTACTCTGCCCTGCCCGGGTGCATCCAAACATTAAACCCACACCACAGCTGCTGCTAACAAACAGGGTCAGAAACCAGAACCTTCTGAGAGGCATCACCTTCTCCTTCAAGAAAGAAACCCTCAGAAAGTGCAGCCTGCATCTCCATGGCCAGATCTGCATGGCTGGCCAGCCCGGGCAACAAAGGAGGCTAGGAATTCGATAGCTTTGTTTTGTAGCCTTCACGGTGCAAGAGGCCATGGCAAAGTGTGCCACACATGTATTGAGTTCCCCGATTCATGGAGGGCATTCACACACCACCCACATCATCACTCTGCCCAATCACGCCAACCAGATTAACCCATAAGTCTCTGGTTACCAAGAGAGTTCGCCAGATCTACCCCTTCCCTTTTGGCTTCATAGCTGTTTTCTTCAGCCAACTTGATTTCCTGTTGTTCCACTCTGTTCCTTTCAAGACTCCATTCAAGCTGGGTGTGCTCCTCCATACCCTGACTTGGCGGCGTAGCCAGGATGCCAGTGTTCCGCAGCTGAAGATGTGTTTGTGTTAGACTTGACTACACACAACAGGGTAATGCCAGAACTAGACCTTAGCCACAGGGAAGTTTCCTTTTCCTCCCCCCAAACAGTCTGGCTTAAAGAATAGGATGACTAGAATGTTCAGTGCCTTGGGTTCCTTACATGCTGTGCTGCGGTCTTCCACCTGCAGTTTCCTGGTCATTCAACTGGCTAAGTAACACGTCCCACAGAAGACAGGGACTTAGAGAAACTAAAGAATATGATTTCATCATCTCAGATGGGCTATGAAGAGTTCTGAGCCATCCCCCTAGTTTTGTTTCTCTGAGACAAGATTTAAACAGTATGTTTATACTTTCTTTCATTACATTATTGCCAAAAACATTATACATGGTGAGAGACAGGATCTATCTTCTTTCTTCCGTATGTGAACATCCAGTTTTCCCAGTGCCATTTGTTGAAGCTTTTTTTTTTTGTGGTGTGTATTTTTAGCCTCTTTGTCAAAAATTAGGTGACAGTAACTGCATGGGTTTATTTTGGGAGTCTCTGTTATATTCTATTCAGTATTTCTGTTAGTGCCAGTAATATGCTGTTTTTCTTACTAGAAACAATATATGGTAATATGTCCATCGTTTTAGATCAGGTTGCTTTGACTCTCTAGAGTCTCTTATGCCTGAATTCTACATTTTTTTCTACTTCTGTGAAGAATGGATTTGGGCTATTAACAGGGCTGCATTGAGTCTGTATTTTCCTTCTGGCAGTATAGACATTTTCACAAGGCAAATTCTTCTAATCCATGAGCATGAGAGAGCTTTCCATCTCCAAGTATTTTCCTGAGGTAATTACAAATGGGATTCTCTTTCTTGTTCTTCAGTATGTTTATTTGTTAATATGAAGATTATTTGATCTTTGTATGTTAACACTGTATTCTGCTTCTGCTAAAGGTATTTATCATATCTAAGAGTTTTCTGGTGTAGTCTTCAGAATCTTTTGGGTATAGAATAATATTATCTGTAAATAAAGATAATTGGATTTCTTTGTTTACTGTTTATATCCCCCTTATTTTTAGGCTTTTTGATCGATTCTTTGTGGATTTCACAGCATGCATCCTGACCCTACTCATCTCTCCATCCCATCATGCCTTCCCTCTGCCCTTGTAACCCCCCCCACACACACACACAAAAGAAAACTTAAAAAGAAAAACAAACCTTTTCAAACATCTGATATTACACAGAAGAGCTTTCAGGTCCAATTCAGGTGTGATGGTCTTTATGGAACATCTATTACGCATTCACTTGGTGTTGAGAGAGGGAAGCATGACTCTCTCATGGCTTTTTAAAAGGAGGCTTTATTGACTTAACTGACAGATGTTCCAACAATGTGGTTATCAAATTGCAGCTGAATCATTATCTTTCCATATTGAGATTATATTGTCCTCTATGGCTACTTAATTCTTCTTCATATTTTTCTTGGGATTCACAAGGATTTTCAATGTCCAGGCATAGCAGCCCCAGAGAAGGAGAGCCTTTTCACAGTGATTTCCATAAACACTACACACTGTCACTCACTAGGCAGGAGTTATGACTCCTGTGTGAAACCTTTTCTTGATGGGAGAAGCATCTGTCTCATTACCTGTGCTGTCCTCATCCCTGGAGCACTGTTAGAGTATGGGAGCTGAAGTGGGGGAGGACAGCCTCATATGGATCATACGGATGGAGAAGAGAGGGTGTGTGGATTCCAGGAAGTTTGAGGCTGGGGCTCTCTGGGATGCCAAAGCTACAAGTACGCCTGTGAAAAGCTACTCATCCCTGCACTTCTGCTCTAAGATTATTCTTTCCCATCTGACATCAGGCTGCTCATGGTTGCCCTTTATCATCACACTCTCTTCCCCCAATTTGGTTTTTTTTTTTTGAGACAGAGTTTCACAGTGTAGCACTGGATATCCCAGAACTCGCTCTGTAGACCAGGCTGGCCTCAGACTCACAGAGATCTGCCTGCATCTGCCTCACGAGTACTGGGACATTCACCACTACTGCCTGGCTCCAAATTTTAATTTATAAATCCCTTCCAAGTGTTTGCAAACCAGGTGATCAAGGCCATTCAAATTATTTCCGGAGGAGAGATAATGGGTCCTGAGTAGAGTCTTCAGAGTATCTCTATGAGAAAGAATTAAAGAATCTAATGGCTTATTTTATGGATCTTGAAAGTCATTTTTGTGCTTTAGGACTTTTCTTTGCAAATCTGCCTTCATAATAGAAATGTAGTAATGTAAATCCAAAACCCAACAAGCAAGAACAGCAGACATCATGAACACAGTTGCTTTAACTAAGGAAAAGACTTTTGATATTTCCCTAAATTTAAGTGGGTTTTTTACAAGATAGATATTTCATTTTACCTTTCTGTTTACAGTACCTTTCTGACTTCAAACACACACTTTGACATCCAGGATTATTTGAGAAGATTTAAAATAAATAAAAACTATAAATTCCAACATATAGCATACATTGTATAGCAAGTTAAGTTTTGATTGTCATGTTTAGAACAATCACAATTACAGGAAGCTTTCAAATGTTTCATGTTAAACATCCCTTTCTGTCTTTAAATAATGCTATACCTGTTCTGCAGGGGTGGCCAAGGTGGTTGATGCTGAGTATTGACAGAGGTGATTTGTTGGCCCTGTCTAAGAATTCCTATGTAATTTGACTAACAAGAAAGATAAAGAAATGAAAACAGTGGTTGTTTTATCTAGAGTTGGGTTTGAATCCAGTGAACCTATTGCGGGGAAGCTGCCGGTGAACCTAGTGCGGCAAGGCCACCTATAAACCCAGCACTTGGGAGGCTGAAACAGGGTGCTGGTGAGATCTGTTCAAAACAAAACAAAACAACAACAGAAAGCCCCAAAACCAGAAAACAAAACAAAATGAAGAGACGTTGGCCTTGAAATATGGTTAAAAGAAATAATAAAACGAAATCCATGTGATTAAGCATTTCGGAGCCACATTCTTGGCCACGAAATCCTTTAAGGACCTGACCCTTCTGTTTCCGGGAAATTCCAGCTCAGTTTCCGTCCTGGAGGTTGGGTCCCTGGCTCTCCTGACGCCCTACCCTGCGCGTGGCTTGTGCGATGACGGTTGCTGGGTCCCTGGGCCGGTGAGACTCGCTAAAGGACTTGTAGGCACGCCCAGTTTTCTCCATCTTCTGCTCCAGGCCCTCCGTTACTGTTCCTGCTGTGGCCTCCAGTTCGATAGCTAGGCAAGGCTGCCTCCCTCCCCTTCCCTTCCCTTCAGATCCCTTCTCACGTAGCTCCATCGCATCTCCTTCCTGATTCATTTCTTTCCTCTCTCAACGTGTATCTCCGGTTTTTCTTTCTCTCAATAGGTCTTGCAAGTAAGAAAGAAGAGATCTTTCCATCAAGACCGACGGCAAAATTAACCCACTGTGCAGATGCTGTTTATACAAATTGCTAATCTGGGGAGATGAAGCCTCACGTGCACCTGTAACTGCAGATGTGTCCCAGGATTGGTTTCTGATTTCCAGAAGGCTTTCGTTTCTCCCTCCACACCCCTGACCCGGATTCCTCTTGGATTTATTACAGTAGACAAGCAATTAACATCAATGCTTTTGAAGGATTAAGGACTGTAATTACACACACAGTGAGTGTGTCAGGCACCAGCATTCACAAGTCCTGCTCTGTGGTGGCGTTGGTCTTGGAATACTACCCTCTTAAGATGCCTTAAAAGCTTGTCACCGTTAGGTTGTAAGGTTCCCTGCAGGAACGCAAGGTATCCTAAGACTGCTAGCAAATTCCTGAAAAAGATCAGGTAGGTTGAGCAATTTTAATACCGTCAAAAAGAATGCTAAGTAGTTGCCTTTAAATTGTTTTTGCATATTTAATAGGTAGAATCCAGTCATCTGTATATTTTTCACACAGTACCCCAAGCCCCATGAAAGATCAAATTAGTTGATGGAGATATGCAGCTGTCACCTAGAAAGGGAATCTCTCATACTTCTGATTTTCCACAGGAATAAAATTGAGTTCAATGACTCAAATAATTGTGAAACAGTACCCCAAAAAAATCCTTACTATTGCCTGTGGGGAACTCATTCTCCATTTTCATCATCATGCCTATGAAAGGTACATACTGGGAAGATAGCTTAGTCTATAGAATGCCTGTTGTGCAAATAACAACAACAACAAAAAAAAAAAACAGAATTTGAATCCCTATCTCCTACATAATGCCAGGCATCATGGTGTGTATGTATAATGATAGCTCACGGGATAAAGACACATGGACAGCCAGTCTAACCAATGGGTGAGCCCCAGGGACAATGAGAGACCCTGGCTCAAAAAAAATAAAAGAAAGCAGCTGGGGAGATAGTCCAGTGAGTAAGAACATTTTCAGCGTAAGCATGACAACCTGAGGTCAAATCCCTGGATCTCAAAAAATGTTAATCAGCCCTAGTAATTAGGGGGGAAAGTCGCAAGGCATATTATCTATCTATCTATTATCTCTCTATCTGAAATTACATTTAGTATATATGAGTATACACTTATACATAGTTTAGGTGAAGATTTCCTATTTGGAATGACAGTGCTTGTAGACTACCTAACAAAACCCCCAACATCAGGCATGAGAAGCCCCTCGATTGTTGGTCCGGTTGTCCAAGAGACTTCCAAAACCTTATAGGCTACTGCTTTTGCCCTTGGTTGCACCCAGAGGGGAAAGTTGAGTTTTTATTGCTGAAGACACCACGTGCTGCAGACACAGTGCCTTGATGACCTGGCCTGGGTGTGACCTGAAACCTTCCTACCTGAGGAGTAGCTAAGAAATATCTCAAAGAATGTGCACCATTCCTAGTAATTAGGGAAACACAAAGCAAAACAACTGAGATTTCACCGTATCCCAGTCAGAATACCAAGGATCAACAAAACAACAATAAATTCTGGAGATGTGTGGAAATGGGAGCCTTCATTATTTTTTCTTTTGACAACTCTCTGTTTGGATCCTAAATCCATTTATGAATGGATCATTTTTTAACCATTGTTTTCTGAATTCTTTATATATATTCTGGATCTCAGCCCTGTGTTAGATGTATAGCCAGTAGAGTCAGTCCCGTTCCATGGGCTTCCTCTTCACAAAATTGTTTCCTTAGCTATGCAGAAACTCTTAGTTTCATGAGGTCCCACTTGTCGGTTGTTGGCTTTAGTTCCTAGGAAAGTGGGATCCTGTTCAGAAAAATCACTTCCTGTAGGGTATTGCCTATGGTAGTTTCACATTTAAGTTCTTGGTCTAGTTAGCCGTACCTTTGTGCGTATGTGGTGTGTGTGTGTGTGTGTGTGTGTGTGTGTGTGTGTGTGTGTTTGTGTGTGTGCAGGATGATATATACAGGTGTAATTTCATTATTCTGTATGTGGGCATCTAGTTTTCTCGGCTCTATCTGTTGTAGATACTCTTTTCTCCAGTGTGTGCTTTTGGCTTTTTTGTTGAACAGAAGATGACTGTAATTATACATGTTCATGTTTAGGTCACTGATGTCAGGAAGCTCACTCTCTCCCACAACTCCAGTTCTAGGGGGAGTCTAGTATCTCTGGCCTCTGCAGGCACATGCACACACATGCACAAACCCACGTGAAGATACAAATGCATATCACATAAGTTAAAATAGTGAAAATAAATCTTAAAAAACAAAAACTCCTCTTACTGCTTTCTAGATTTAGGCATTGTCTGTAGGGAAGGCATGTGCTATGGTTTCTACTTTTTTAATTTGCTGAGGCTTTTTTTGTGGCCTGACATATCCTTGAGACTATCCCATGATGAGAATAATGAGTATTCTTCATCCTAAAGAATCTTTTGGATGAAATCTGGGATTCTTTGAAACTCTTTGGTCTAAGCACTCGTAATATCTTTCTCAAGTTTTGTTTCTGTATCTCATTTTATACTTTTTCTATGCCTTCCCTCTTTCTCTGAAACAACGATGCCAACGTTTGGTGGCAGTGCTAACTTCATTGTTTTTCAAAGTGTTTTTGAGACAGAGTTTCTCTGTGTAGTCCTGTTCTAAAACTCACTCTGTAGTCCAGGCTTTCCTCAAACACAGAGATCCACCTACCTCTCCCTCCCAAGTTTTGGAATTAAAGATGTGTCCCACCACACCCTGATTTTTTTTTTATTAATTGACCTCATAAGATCTGCATGAACTAGTGTGGCTGCTGGGATTAAAGGTGTGTGCCACCACTGCCTGGCTTACTAGTGTAGCTAGCTTTGTTTGCACTGTGATCTTCAGGCAAGCTTTATTTGTTAGACCATAACCAAAATATCACCACCACAAGGTTCCTCCCTTTTATGTTCTGGGGTTGCAAATAGGGTAAGAGAATACATTTTCAGGGTTGGGATGTTTTCAGTGCCAATGCCCATGTAAGTGCCAAGTACCGTGTCCCCGCCTATGTGTTGCCATGGTAAATGGCTCTGCTCCTTATTGCTTACCCAAGGAATGTGCTTTGAGCAAGAGATGTAACTCTTATAGCCTTTGTTAATATTGCCTCAAGCCTCCTGGAAAATGTGTGTTTAAGCTAGGTGAACAAAGAAACAAGGGAAAATTGAAACAGAGAATTGAAGCTGAGAATTAGAATTGAAGAAAGAGAATTAGAGAACAGAAGACCAGACAGAACAATAAAGAGCAAGACCAGAACAGCACATGTGTGAATCCATTCCGTACCATCCACATAGAAAGCCCTTAAGCTCAGTTTCACTATGCTGTGGAGCTTTTCTGTGAACCCTGGGCATAGCCTTGAGGGCTGGACTTTCAAGACTACCCATATCATTTTCATTTTCTTGAAGTCTCAGAGAAGCTTGAAACACACTAGGTAGTGGCTGAAATAAAGAACTTATTATCTCCCATATCCTTTTGATATGTTGCCCATTATTATGAAATTGGTGTGAAATAATATATTTCTCTAGGTCAAAAACTTTTAAAACGTAGGTGCTTGGGGCCAGTGAAATGGCTTATAAGATAGAGGTATTTGCCAACAAGCAGAAATGACCGGAACTCATCCCTTGGGATCCACATAGAAGAAGAGGACTGACTGCAGCAAGTGGTCCTCTGACCTACGCACACACATGAATAAATAAATGTAATAAAAAATTTTAAGCCTGGGTTTGTAGCTTTGGTTAATAACCTTAAGTGAATATTTAAAATTTTTATTACTCTGTGTGCTGTGTGCGCGCGCGAGTCACGAACACAAGTGCGTGTCACAGCACACATAGGAAGTAACTTGTGGGAATCAGTTCCTGCCTTCTATCATGTGGTTCCCAGGGACTGAACTCAACCCATCAGACTTGGCATCTGGTACCTTTACTCACTCGCCATTCCACTCGCCTTAAGCAAGTATTTAGATTTTTTTTTCTGTAAAGGTATCTGACTTGGCTATGATAAAAAAATGTATTTAAATATTTTAAACATTAATGTTACTTAACCATATTTGTTTTCATGTGGATTTATAGATTTGCCTTTTCTTTCAAATTATTTTTCCTTAAATATCAGCATGTATGACACAGAATCAGTCAAGAAGGACAATGAATCCCAACTGTCTACATTTGCTACTGTACAGTCTACTACAGTTACTCAGGTAAAAACGTAAAACTACGCTGTATGTTGAGTTCTGGGGAGATGACTCACTGTGAGAGCCTGAGGATCTTAGCACCCACCTGGAAAGCCAAGTGTGGTGCATGTGCTTAGAAGCCCACACACCAGGGAGCAGAGACAGGCAACAACTGGCCTTCCTGAAACGGAAAGCCTCCTGTTCACTGAGAAATCCCAGGCTACGTAGCAAGATACCATTTGTTTGGTTCTTTTATATAGATGTCTCTTAGATATGCCTGTAAAAAAGTGAAAAATATAATTTTGTAATAGCTGTTAGATTTTAATGGGTTCTAGAAAATGAACGGGAAGGATGAGACAGATGAAAGGAATTATGACAGTGTTTTGGACCCAGACTGGGTAGGTTTTTGGGAATAAGGCAAATATGGTGTACTTCCTTCTGTGTGGTAGAAAATTTAAGCAATTGAAATCAATGAAAGTTAAGTATTTTGAAGAAACCAGAGGGAGGGTTGTCTTCTAAGCATATAGAGTAAGCCATTAAGCCTTTGTTAGAATTATAAATTGCTATTTTTTAAGTAGAGGTGCCAACAATTCTTAAGCCAGAAAGCCCAATGTAAAATTACAAACATCCCACCTTGCTTCTTATTGCTTTATCAGTAATTAATTCATCCTAGTCTACATCCATTTATTGTACTCTCTGAAATTATAAGGTAGGATGCTCTGATTTACTGTGTGTGGCTTGTGACTTTCCATAACCCTAATAAAAGCCAGCTGTTGTGCTTTCAGCATTCCATACAGTGATGGAGACGCCAGAGAGTACCTCTTCCCCAAACACAGCAGACTGGTCATTAGATCTGAGAACCTTGTCTCAAAGAGCGGCAGTGTGAGTCCTTAGCCATCAGGTGCAGAGTTGGCTCAACGATTCTTTTTAACCCTCTGAGCCCTCCATTATCTGCGCAGTCTAGCCTTTTCTACACTTCTGCAAAAGTGCACTCAGAATGTTAGCAGCACACACAGTGCTGGCCCGTATGTCCACCCACCCATCATGACAATGGTACGGTAGACACAAAGGTCACTATTCCAAGGATAACTCTGGGTTTGTTGTTGGAATTGTTTGTTTGCATCAGGAGAAGCTTCTCTGCATTGTCACACACCACAAGCATCTCACTAACTCAGCAGTTTCATAGTTACATTAGCATTCAAAGGTTGGGAGGGAGGACTGATATATACCATAAATTATCAAAATGTTACGTATAAATATTAGTGGAGGCAAGCTTGAATTTCTGAGCATGTGGCCTCTGATTTTCTCATCTTTTCAGTTATATTACTTTTCACATTTAATGTTGCAATTTAGTTACAATTTTATTTCAGGAAGGTTTCAGTGATTAGTCTGAGGGAGATAAAGGGTGGACAGGTTCAGTCTTTGAGCCTGCACTAGAGACTCACTTGTTCCGTATATAAATGCTGACAATAATGGAGATGCAACTGTATTAACACGGTTCCTTGCAAAAAGCCTGCTGTTACATCCCCTCGTTCTGAAGAGTGCAATGTGTGTTCCCCTTGTTGACAGTAATGCGAATTTAGTTATGAAATGTAGCAATTGCCTACATTCATAAAATTATGTGGAGAGTACAGTTCTTAAAAGAGTTCTTGTTTTATTTCAGATTTCCAGTAATACCAGTGATGTTTCTCACGAGGAAATAAAGAGAACGAAACAAGTGAACAGAAGTACAAATAGTTATTGTCCTCCACAAGGAACACTCAATAAACTAATTACAGATGGTATGTGAAATAAATGTACATGGGGAGGAAACGAGGAGTATATGTGCCTAATAAAACGCAGATAATAAGGCCACTGCAGAAGATGTATATCCTAGATGGCAAGCTCAGGTCTGAGCCATATGTAGATGAAACAAATATTTCCTCATCTTTTCAAAACCAAAGTATTGCTTGATTCTTTTCCATGTATTCTAATGTTAAATTTGAGAGTTAGAAGCCACGTTAATTGAAGATGCTTGTTGGAGACTTCCTTTTGATGGTCTTAGCTAGAAGTAATATTGTCCCTGGCAATATTAGGTTCTTAACATTAGGCCCCAGATTTTAAAATAGCTGTGGCCTTATGTAAAATTCGCATCTTATTGTTGCCAAATTTTTATGAAGAGTTTTTTCTTATTTCTTTTTTAATTTGTTTATTTTTAGTGCATTGGTATTTTGCCTGCATGTATGTCTATATGAAGGTGTCAGATCCCCTAGAATTGGAGTTTCAGACAGCTGTGGGCTGCCGTGTAGATACTGGGAATTAAACCTGGGTCCTTTGGAAGAGCATCCAGTGCTCTTAACTGTTTGAGCCATTTCTCCAACCCCCTGGTTTTTTATTTCTTTATGAATATTCTACACAATTAAACTCGGAGAGATTTTGACAACCAACTATATATAACCCATACAGAACAAAAATTAGACTAAACACAGTGAAGCATAAATAACTGAAGTTTTATTTTCCATGCATTCTAACTTGGTCTTTGCCAACTTTAAACTTTCTAAGGACCACGAATTAAGCTTTTCTCTGCACTTGAAAAGTCCTCGTGTGGCTGTAAGTTACTGGGCTCCTGTTGACATTGTGGTTTCTGCACATAGCTCTTCTACATCTGTTGGCTCCCATGTGGGCAGTTTCTAGAGTGTGGCTGTTACAAGAGAGGAAAAGGAATGTTCTTATGAGCCCCAAAGGTTACCCTTTGCAGGCTGGATTGCAGGCAGAGTTCAACACCAGTACTGAAATGTCAAACTTAGGTCAGTGACTTAGTTCCCTGTCCCCTTTTCTTTTGGTTTTGGTTTTGTAGTTTTAGGAACATTTGTAGAAAAAGATTTCGTAGCTTTCTATTTTTCAAGCCTCTCTCCATTTCTTTGGCATACACATCACCTAGGGTCTTACTGGTTCCTTAATACACACTTCCAAATCAAATTCAGAAGCACATTAAGAAGATTATACATTATGATCAAGTGTGCTTCATTTTAGAAAGGCAAAGTTGGTTTGACTTACGCAAATCAATAAATGTAATATACCCTACAAATAAACTGAAGGAAAGAAACCACATAATCACTTCAGTTGATGCTGAAAAGGACATTTGAAATTCTTTCGAATAAAAACAAAACAAAACAAAAACAGTTGAACTTAGAAATCCACAAAAATGACTCAAACACAGATGAGGCCTATCGTCGGCATTAAAGAAGAATGTGGGTCACTTCGGCGACTTTCCTCTGAGAAGGCGGGATCTAGTCTAAAGAGAAGGAAGAAATGTTGAAAAGCTTGGGGATGATGTGCTCTAGCACATCTGAGGTTCTCGACTGGATGAGTGTGAACGGTGAACTAGTGAAGAGACTGTTGAATTTCTTACCACAAGCCATTGCCAAGATCTGAAACACCTTCCAGCAAAGGCAGTAAAAAGGAGCGGAGAGTTCTATAATGACAACAGAGTCAAAGCAAACAGATTTGTTGAAATTCTGTCAGATAAATCCAGTGGTGATGAGGATGAAATGTGGAGTCTTTAGACGGTTGAGATAAATAAAGAGGAGCAGTCACTGTTTAAAAAAAAAAAAAACCTAAAAAAGAAAAAGCCAAACAGAAATCTACTGCTAAAAGAAAAACAAAAACCAAAACAAACAAACAAGCAAACAAAAAAACATGCTCCAGAAGAGTGGAGGCAATTGGAAATAGTCTGGATCTAAAAATGGTTCAGATGACAAACCACTAATTCAAACATTCAAGAAACCACCTCCAGACGACTAGTTAAAGGAAATAGCAAAGAAATTATTGGCTGATGCTAAATTGGAAGAAGTAATAAAGAAGCAGATTTGCTGAGTGGCATATAAAAATCATTTAATGGAGAGAAAGCATCTCATTAATATAGCAGTAAAACCTGGCGGGAGTGATCCAAGCCTTTAATTCCAGCACTTGGGGAGGTGGAGGCAGGCAGATCTCTGAGTCCAAGGCCATCCTGGTCTACAGAGTTCTAGGACAGCCAGGGCTGCACAGAGAAAGCCTGTCTTGGGAAACAACAAAAATCTAACAAGTAGAAACAAAAAGTTGTAAAGACTGGTTCCTTGTTATGGAGGTTGGGAGACTTGTTCTCTGATTTGAAGAACAAAGAGAATGTGCTTTCTTTCCTAAGCCTACTGAGTTGGAGAACCCACTGCTGACTTTTGGGTGTCACATACATCTGAGCCTACTGTTGTAAATTGAAATTCTGTGCAGCTTTTAGTTTCAATCTTGCATGGTAGTAATTGTGTTTTGCTTTTTATGGTTGCATAAATCCAATTTTGGATTTCTTTATGTAATGTCATAGGTTCCTGAATTTTAGTGTATTGATGTTAGCTTGCTTAAGACATACTTTTAATCAAGTAAAGCAAAAACTATTATAACCAGCCTTTATATGTGCAGAGAATAATGGAGTACTTACTATATAAAATATTTTGAATATATCTCTTCTGTGGTTGTGAAAACTTAGTAGCAGTTTGCTCATATTGGAGCATGGATGGTGGTGTCAAGTTGTTGGCATGGTAGAAGTGACAGATGTTAGTTTGTATTTTTAAAAACCAATTTAGGGATGAAGAGATGGCTCCACCATTAAAGGCTAGGCTCACAACCAAAAAAATATAAAAAACAAATTTGTTTTATATGACTTCTTGTTAGTATTTTGTGTGGATCAGTTTTTAAACTCATACAGGTAGGTGTCTATGCACTTATAAACTAAAGAATGTCAGTGTTGAGCCGGGTGGCAAGACAGAGCAGTCAGAGTTCAGGGATGGGGACACTAATGTACTGTCCAGTTCTGCTTTGCCCTGCAAGTGTCATCAGTTTGTGATTGTGGCATTAAATGTCATAGAAATTTTATTTTGAGGACAAACCAAAATCAGTACACCAGATCTCCAAAAACCGGGAAAGGCTGAAATTAAGCACCTTGGACTTATCTGTAAGTGAACGGGTAACTTCTTTTGACCATCTAAAATATTACTTAGGAAACCTGGCTACCTTCATATAATTATGATTAAAAGTATCAGATGTAATGCCCAAAGATGGTATGTAGTCAATGTAAGTATCCCTGACAAAGCAGTTCTCAAAAAACCATACATTAAATTTCCTTAATATTAGAAGCAAATATTTGCAGAATCAAGGTTACTGGATTTTAAATTTTTGTCAGTCAAGATTTCAGGTGGTAAACATGGTTCACCTAGACTAATTTTTTCTTTTGACTATCTTAATAAATAGCCTATTTCTGAATTATAAAAATAGGCTGTTTGGAAAAAATGATATTTTCTGTACTGAGTGTTTAACCTTTGCATCGTAGAGCAGACATAGAAAAACGATGTTGAGCATTAACAGGTATTTTCACATATCTGACTGGAATAAGTAACTAAATGGGAACTAAAAAATGGTCTTTTCTTTTTCTTGGTAATAAAGAACAAATCAATGTGAAGATGTTAAAGCCAGAGCATTGTAAGATGTTTTCTCTCTTTTGGGGGGCCACCACCCAGTTCCCAAATGAATCACACTTGGAGGCTTAATCTTAGTTATGAGTGCCTTGTCTTAGCTTGGCTTTTTTCTAGCCAGCTTTTCTTACTTAAATTAACCCTTCTTCCCTTTTCCTCTAGGCTTTTATCTTCCTTACTTTTCTATATCTTACTTTCCTTCTTACTCCGTGGCCAGCTGGGTGTCTGCGTGGCTGTCCCCTGATGTCCTTCTCTCCTTGTTCTCTTCCTGCTTCTTCCTCCTCTTCTTCATTTCTCCTTCTGTTTATCCTCTCTGCCTGCCATCCCCGCCTGTCCTTGCTCCTGCCTCACTATTGTCCGTTCAGCTCTTTATTAGGACCACCAAGTGTTTTAGACAGGCACAGTAACACAGCTTCACAGAGTTAAACAAATGCAGCATAAACAAAAGCCATAAATAATATCTTACAACACCAGAGTGAAACTCCAGAGCTTCTAAATGTATAAAAGTTCAACACAATGTACAGTCTTTGGCTCTGGTGAATTTCAGTGCATGGTGTTTTTTATTTCTAAGTTCTCCATAATGAAGAGTTTTGTTGTTGTTGTTGTTTACTTGTAAATTACAGAGTTCTATTTTTTGAGACAGGGTTTTTCTGTGTAGCTTTGTAGACCACACACACACACACACACACACACACACACACACACACACACACACACAAAGAAAATTACAGGCAATTTCCTTGATGAACATCAGTCCAAAAATTTATAATAAAAATACCTACAAACTGAAATCAACAACACATAAAAAAATCTTATACTGTGATTAATTTGATTTTATCCTAGGGATACAAGGATGGGTTCAACATGTGCAAATAAATGAATCTGATCCAGTACATAATAGCCTCAGAGACAGAAATGACATATGATCTCAATAAATACTGAAAAATCTTTTGACAAAGTTCATCATTATTTCCTAATGGAAACTGTGAAGAAACTAGGAACAAATGTAACATGTCTTGACATACTAAGAAGATATACAATAAATCTGTAACCAACATTATATTAAGTATGAAAAACTGAGAACATTCCCTCTAAAATATAAGGATATCCAGTGTTTCTATTCTTATTCAACATAATTCTTGAAGCTTTAGTCAAAGCAATAAGAGAGGAGAAAGAAATAAAAAGGATACGAACAAAAAGTAAGCCAAATTACTCCATGTCTTAGATTTTTATTGCTGTGATAAAACATCATGACCAAGGCAGCTTATAAAAGAAAATGTTTAATTTGGCTCATAGTT